TGTTCAGTCAAACTCCTCCAACCCTCTTCCCTTGATGGCACATTTAAAAACAATGTAGTTGCAACCAGTCCGACTTTTCCATCTGCCTTTGAATAGACAGACATGGAAAGCTACCACCGCAGTGTTTCTGATTCTCTCTCTACGCCTCTTTCTGTTCCTCTCCACCTCCTCCTCCTCCTCCTCCTCTCTTTCTCTGCTCTCGGATGACATGTTCTGGGTGGGGTTTCTTCTTCTGATGTGCCAAAGGGCTGGGCTCTGCTCCACGCTGGAGAATGGAAACAATGTGGAGAAACAGAACAAGCCTTGTGCTGCTCTGCCCTGCTTTCACCTCCAGTTTGTGAATGTTTTCAATGGTTTTTCTCTTAAAACACTCGCCTCCAACACATTGGATTTAAAACAGTTCTTAAGGTTAAAGTGTGGGGGTGTTTCAATCTAAGTTTGTGGGTACAGATCGTTGCCCTTTTCACACTACGAATAAGGATGAAAAGGCATATTTTAGCTACAATCTTGACTTTAAATGAATATAATAACCATGTTATCCCCCCCAAACTGCCTTAAATTAAAGTCACTCCTTGTACTCAATGTTTTAAAGAACATCCAATGTTCTGATATAGATCCAAAACCTCCAAAGACATTTCTACTTTCGAAACAGAACAAGCCTCGTGCTGCTCTGCCCTGCTTTCACCTCCAGTCTGTGAATGTTTTCAATGGTTTTTCTCTTAAAACACTCGCTTCCAGTACATTGGATTTAAAACAGTTGTTGAGGTTAAAGTGTGGGGGTGTTTGAATCCACATTTGTTGGTACAGATCACTACAAATGAGGATGAAAAGGCATATTCTAGCTTAAATTCATGTTATCCCCCCCACACTGCCTTAAATGTAAGTAACTCCTTATACTCAATGTTTGAAATAGAAATCCAATGTTCTGATTCAGAGACAAGACATTTCTACTTCATGCACTCACAGCTGGAGCAACTCGTTTTTCTCTCTCCACTCCTTCCTATTGAAAGGCTTTGTATGTTTTAGTAAATGCATTGTAAAATGTTATTACCTGTAAAGCAGAAACTGGCTGAAGGGACAGGAAGAAGTCACTTAAAACATAGCAGTCTCCCTCATCTTAAATCTTTAAGGAAAACCTTTTATTTTTAGGTTTGGAAAGAGACACTACCTCAAATGTAAATGTCTTCCCAGTTTACTGCAAGATGTAAGATATCAAATAAAAAGCTATGTTTGACCCTAACCCTAACCCTGATTTTGCAGCCTTGATGGAAACTGTATTAATTTTCCTGAAGCGTAAAAACTGGAGAACATTTCCATCTTGGGGATATTGATTTAGAGCGTCTTAAACGCTTACATTTGGCTTAAGATACTCTGTTTTCAGCACTTATAAAGAAGCACTTCTGGTTGATAAGGGAACAAGATGCCGGCCATGTATTCCACCAGAATAAGCAGTTTGCACGATGATCGATGAGACCTTTCTCTCGCCAAGAATTCTTGGAGAGAATCCTGCTGTAAATGAGTATGCTCGTATTTTACGCTGACAAGCCACATTGACTGTTGTCAATGCTTAAAAAATAAGATTGCATTATTCCTCTGCATGTCACAACAGCACCTCGTTCTGCAGTCATTTTAGTTCCAGGAAAAGACAATCAAATTAGAAAGATTTAGGAGGGTTCTATGTTGAATATATTGCTTTATTCTTGAACTACTTCGTTCCTACCCTAACATATGGTCATGAAAGATGGGTCATGATGACAGAAAGAACGAGATCACGGATACAAGGGGCCGATATGGGTTTCCTTTCCCTGGCTCATCTCTCTTAGGGATAAGTTAAGAAGTACAGTCATCCAGGAGGGTAGAAAGGAGCCAGTAGAGCTGGTAAGGATGCCACCTGGCCGCGTCTATTGTTTTCCAACCCAATTGAGATTTAACCACGCCCACAAATCAAGTGTGTACGACAACACTCAAAAACCCAAGGATTTAATGTTTATAATGCAAAAGGATAAATCAAATGTTTGGTACACTAGATGTATGAAGATAATGAACTGTCCCTGGTTACAAGGTTGAATTAATATCAGTTATACTCTAGCTTAGGAGAAAATAAAACCCATTTGGGCTGTTTACCAGTGTTCCCGGGGAATTTTGAATTGAGCTGTCCCTTAAGTTATAGATACTATCTCTTTACGTATTAGTGATGGGAATTCCGGCTCTTTTAGGCTCGCCGGCAGTGCACTTTCCGTCACAGGAACACGCTTTGCTGGCGGCGAAAATAATCCCACCAGACTCCTTTGCCCCTCCAACAGAGGGATGTCCTTGTCCTTTTTCCTTTTCGTCATTTCAAGCGATAAAAACTCGATCTTCTCTCGAATTTCTTTTTTTTTTGGACGCCCTCGGTTTGGGTTCAGGGCGTCAAATGACGGCAAGACGCCCCCCTGGCGGAAACGCTGCTGTTCACCATTCAGCGTTCTGCAGCAAGAGGAATATTTGTCATTCTCCGACAGTGTTGGGAAGTAATAAAGTTTACTCAAATACTATAATATTCATAATAATAATAGATTACATTTTTATATTGCCTTTCAAGAGACCCCAGGCGGCTTCACATGGTGTAAGGACAAACAAACAAACAAACATGTAGTACTTATGTACAAATACTTTATTCTATGGTGAATCATTATTAAAAGAAGAATGACTTTTACTCGGCTCAGCGTAAATAAGATCTTCTTCCACATTATGGATATTACTTTATAATGCCTGCTAAGTTTTGTTGTTTTTCTACCATTTAATTGGCAAAGCTGTGCCTGAACGTCATCTAAAATAGCACATCAATAACATGAAAGCAAAGGTATGCAGGGAGGAGGTCCAGTTATCGAATCGCTTTTGCGAACTCTACAATGAATTGAAAACAAACATATTTCTTTTATAATGAGTCCCTGCTGAGTTTAACAATTGATGATATGAGTTTAGTTTAGTTTCTGCCTGTTAAAAGGTAAGAAATCTGCTTAGACATGAATCCACATTAGGGTGTCAGTGAGATGTATCAGCAAAGGTACGCAGGGAAGAGTTGAAGTCATCGAAATAATCGCTTTTGAAGGCTCGACAATGACTCCTAATCTAACATCTAGTCATGTCTTTGCACCCTCAGCACAATAGACTCAGATTTCATCCACCGATTCCTCTCTTATCTCTTTCTCGCTTTCCCTGAGAACTAAATATAGACGTCAGCGCGGAGCAACCCTCTCGTCACTAAGCTCTCCGGTTTCTGCACCTTTCGGCGCCTTCTGCAGTTTGAAGAGACGCTAATCGAGCACGTTTTCTGTTTGTTTTTGTTGTCGGAAGCTGAGTTGGATTCTTAGTCGACAGGCATTGACACGGCATAGCTGTAACATCTTTCATTTGCCGGTTTAAAACAATCAACTCCAGCAATTCTAAACATAATTATCTATGCTGTCCACACCCCTCTCTCTCTCTCACACACACATGCATTGTTTTTGGGGGTGTGTCTGCAAAGGGAGGATAGGATTTCCAAACAGCTGTGACATAGTTGGAGTGTGAGTCCTTCTTTTAAACACACACGTGTAACCTAAAGTGTGGGAGGGGCTGTGTTTCCGGAAATGTCTTTCGTCGCTCAGCATTCCCATTTGTTATATGATATCCTCGGGCCATTAGATCGCATGGAAATATAGCTGTGTGTTCAAAAGTACGGGCAGAAATGGATACATATATCTCTGAGAAACAGTTCAATCATATTATAAACAATTTGTGATGATTGGAAACAGATATGGGAAGCTTAGCATCAACATGTGTGCAGATTTAAATACTAACCGGTTCCTGTTTTCGTGTCAGGTGCACACAAATGTCGCTAACAAGCTGGACTAAACAGGAAACTAATTGGAAAAAGAAAGGTAGGGTTAGCACTGTTGCTAACCAACGGGGAATAATAGATAAACAAATCAAGCCCGGTGACGTTGTTGTGTACCAATAATGATTTAATGACGGAAATGAAAGTCTTAAAAAATGCCATTCTTCTTCTTCTCTTCACTTTTCTTTGTATCTAAATGATAGATTAGGTGTCTGAATAAAACCGTTTCCAACTCTTTTTAAAACACCAATATAACAGATGATTATACACTTAAAAAAACGTTGTGTAAAAATACTAAAAAAAGGGAAACGCATGGTAGTACAGGTGATACTATTTGTGCCAGATCCATCACAGTATTTGACACTCTTACTCGATGTAGGATGTTGCCTTGAATGACTTCACTCTGCAAAAAAAATTACGTGGCATTGTTAAGGCGAGACACTATAGGTGAATAGGGAATTTCTTTTAACTTAAAGATATCAGCTAGAAAAGTCTCCAGTTAATTACTTTCATTAAGACAATTGTTCTTTGTATTACACGTTTTCTGAAATCGCATGTTTAAATATGCAAATTAGCCATAATCTCATTAAATATGCGCATCTTTTAATACATTTCAGGAACACGGAAATGACTCAGTTTCCTTGCTTTGTCACGTAAAAAAAGCCAATTTTTTAAACACATTGTTGTTCTTCCTCAGTCTCATTTGTTTCCTCATACTTTATATTTAGTGTTATATCCCCAGTATTGTCTCAAACCTAATAGAGGACATTGTTCCTCTGCAGCTGCTTGTTTTATTGCACCCGTTAGTCACTCTTTCCTCCGTTTACTCGTGTTTTCCAACTCATCTGCTCTGTTTTCACTCTGCAGCAGATGCACTAGTCTGTAATTAGTTCAGGTGCCGGCCACATCTGGCACAGCTTCACTTGATCCAACCTTGAATAACCTTCACAGTTTAAACATAGACAGCCCACAGTGTTGAACACTGCAGCACCTAAACTTGTCATTACTGCCCGACGTGAATCAATGGGAAAACCAGGAAACAGATGTGAAAGAAATCGACAGAATATTTGACCTAAACATTATGTCGTCTGTGTGAATTTAAATCGTAGTTTTAACTCTTTCCTTCCTGTCTCTTTTCCAGGTCCATTATCCAGATGTGGAGAGAGTGGAATGGCTGAATAAGGTACACACACACACACACACACACACACACACACACACACACACACACACACACACACTGCTTCTCTCTCACTGTACTTGTTCACAGACACGTCCGCTTCATAATGTCAGTGATATGTTTTAAAACACGCATGCCATTCCACCTTAAGTTCACATATATGCTAACTCGGCCACAGAAAGACACACACACACACACACACACACACACACACGGCACACACACGGCACACACACACAAACACTCTCACTCTCTCTCTCTGCTCTCGCCCACTGGTTTGCTCTACATTCGGCCCTGTTAGCCTGTTAGCCTGTTAGCTAGCACATAGGTATATAAATAGGCTCTCAATCTGGAGCTCTGCTAGACCCTGAACCAGATCTAACATTCCCCGAAGAGAGAGAGCTGCACTTCCTCACATATTGCCCTAAATTCAAACCTGTCTGGGAACCATTTATTCAAAAATTCTGCAGTAGGAATCGAGACATCATTAAAACTGAAAATGTAAAAGTGAGTAAAACCGTAATGTGGGAAATTAAGAAAAGCAGGACAGTGTGTCAGGTCAATTTACACCATATCTCTTTACTTTATATGTAATATATCTATATGTAATATATCTATATATATATATATATATATATATATATATATATATATATATATATATATATATTATATCCTGCACAATAATCAAGAAGTCACCTATATGATAACTGTTGTTCTTTTCCGCTTTTATCACATAATGGGGTTTGGAAACGAGGCTGGGTGACTTGAATGACTTAGTTCAAGGTCAAAAAAAGGTTGTGTTTCTTGTAAAACAAACACTTTAATTCAGTTTTTATTCAAGCTATATTTCTATATGTCATTATTTGTACAATGCTTTAGAAATACTGCATGTCATTATGCTAAAAAAGCTATTAGAATTGAGAGGAAAGGGAGTAATAAAGAAGCACTTAGTGTAAATGTCCAGGTGCACTTCCAGTCAGAAGCTAATGGGTGCTGATGATCCAAATCGGACAAAGTGCTCTTCAGGTTTACGGTTGTTTACAAACACAGAGAGTCTGATTTTAAGGGGCAATAATTAAATATGTATGCTCCTCTTAAGCAAAGTGTTTTTCTGCGTGGAGGTGAGGACTCCTCTTCCCTTCTTACTGCTTATCTACTGAAGTTGAACGTGAGGGATTTAAAGCCTGATTATTAGTCTGGTAATTTGTTAAATCGGCTTATTTTTTGCAAATGAATTACAATCGAAATGTGTGTGTAGCTGGCGGAGAGAGAGTCTCACAATACATGCACAAAAGTGGGCAAAAAGATCAATAGAAAGTGATAAAACAACAAATACACAATCAATCTAAATCAGAATACTTTGTTTATCTCGGGGTGAATTGGGTTTCTTGACAGTTGCTCCATTTAAGAATGAAATGGGATAAAGATATTTATAAAAACATGGGAATTTCACCTAAGAATGTGAAATAAAATACAATGGAATACATATATGTATATAAACATAAGAAAATAAGGTAAAATGTCTAATAAAAGATATCGTAAAAGAACAATATTTACATACAAATAACAATACATATGTTCAATATTCAATCAAATACAATCGAATACAAATATTTATAAAAATGACAATGTAGTATTTAAATGACAATAAATACAGTGTTGTGTACTTTGTAGTATTTATATATTAATGCTGAATTACACAGTCAACACAATATTATCATATTTGTATTATAGAAACATATTATTAATACTCCTAACTGCAACACCCCTATAAACAAAGTTATAACAATTATATTTAATAACAATTTATTTGCAAGTTGTCCTTTTTTGGGAAGACATTTGACATTTAAAGGAATAAGGTTTCCTCCAGGACTAAAGCACCAAAACAAAACCACGAACAATGCTCGTGTTCAGTCAGATATTCAGTCCCTTTTTTCCTGAACAGCTGAGAGCCACTCCTCAAAGACATCAAGTCAGGTGACGATCGGCTCTGAGAACATTCCTGCTCTCTCACATTCCCGTTGTCTCGACTGTAAAAATTCCTCAAAAGTTTTTCTAGGTCACTGAGCAGCAGAGGATGTCTTTGAGATCAAATGTGGCCATGGCTGCGGTAACAGACACATGACTAACTCCCATTATATTACTATAAAACTCTCCCTGCAAAAGATAGTGTGTGTGTGAGAAAGTTTGTAGTGATTTTACATCGGTTACTATTCCACAAGTCCATCTACATGTGTCCAGACTTGTCTATTTACTGTTTCTCATTCGAACCCCATTCCTATATTTGCAACATACTTTGGGATTTTAGCCTTTGCACACCATTTACATGCACCAAAACATACATTACATAAGAAAGAACCTTGAACATGTCACTTGTTAGACGCTTTTATCCAAAGCAACTAACATACTCAATACTGTGGACAATCCCCCACAGGAGCAATTTGGGGTGAAGTGTCTCAACGACATGCTGACTGCAGTGGGGTTTGAACCTGTGACCCCCTGATCCAAACACTAACGCACTAGTCCACTGCGCCACACGCCTCCTACACATAACACACTACAGGAAAGGGAAATAAACGCATAATGGGAACCCTTTAAAAGAAAACAAAGGAATTCTTACTTGGGTTGAAGTTAAGCCTGGGCAATAAATGAATAAAACATATTAATATCGTGACATAAAACTGAAAAAAAGTGATTTTCATTTTCTAAACTTAACCGACAGTTTTAGTTGTTCTATTATTTGCCTTTATCTGCTAAGCTAATATCTTTAAATAACTTGTGATTAATTATCATAATTCTACTCAAATATGTTGTGAAAGCCCCAATATTCAACCTTACAATATCGATATTGAGGTGTTTCATCTGAAATTGTGATTATTCTCCATATTGCTCAGACCCTAAATGAAGCGTGTAGAAAAACAAATGGTGTTGAAAAATGGTTTGATAAACACTGACAATGACACCAAGAATGTGACATCTACAACATGTCTTAGCTCCAGCTGTGCATCCACCATGTTGGATTTAGAGGTGAATTATCCGTCTAATTCTTTCTTCCTCTCTCTTTCTTCTTCAGACGGTGAAGCAGATGTGGCCGTTCATCTCCCAGTTTGTAGACAAGCTGTTCAGAGAGACCATCGAGCCGGCAGTGCAGGCCGCAAACCCTCACCTCAGCTCCTTCTGCTTCACCAAGATCGACATGGGCGACAAGGTGACACTGAGACAAAGTCTGACACGATATAATAGAGAGGCTGTTAGCATCTCAAGGGCTTCCTTTACAAAAAGTCAATGGGATTTGTCCTTTTAGATTTTGGATTATTGCAGAAAATAATCTCTGTGGCAAACACACATTTATGATATTTACGAGCTTTGTTCAGCAAGATAATCTCTAGATATTAACACCACTTTATGACGTAAGAAGTAAATGTTGTGCTATAAAGGAACTACAGCACGGTCACATGACTTCACGTCACCACCGCTAAGCTAAAGGCGGCTAATGTTGGGCTGTAAAGGAACTACAGCATGGTCACATGACTTCACGTCACCACCGCTAAGCTAAAGGCGGCTAATGTTGGGCTGTAAAGGAACTACAGCATGGTCACATGACTTCACGTCACCACTGCTAAGCTAAAGGTGGCTAATGTTGGGCTATAAAGGAACTACAGCACGGTCACATGACTTCACGTCACCACCGCTAAGCTAAAGGTGGCTAATGTTGGGCTACAAAGGAACTACAGCACGGTCACATGACTTCACGTCACCACTGCTAAGCTAAAGGTGGCTAATGTTGGGCTATAAAGGAACTACAGCACGGTTACATGACTTCACGTCACCACTGCTAAGCTAAAGGTGGCTAATGTTGGGCTATAAAGGAACTACAGCACCACCGCTAAGCTAAAGGCGGCTAATGTTGGACGTGATGGCGTTTAGTCGTCTCATTTAGACTCTTGTTAGCAACCGCTGTTTTTAAATGAACTAGTGTGGTATTTACTGATGTATTTGATGTCTTAGAACAAAATGTTAAAGTTCCTCTCGGTTGAACCACATACTAAACCATTGTTTACTCAAACATTTCAGACTAGAGGTAATAAACCGGTATTTTCTTTGAGATTTCCTCACTTTGAGACGTTTTTATCTGTGTTTCTGCAGCCGCTGAGAGTGAACGGGGTGAAGGTTTACACAGAGAATGTGGACAAGAGGCAGATCATCATGGATCTGCAGATCAGGTACACACACTTCACCTCTCACACTCTCACACACTTTAACCCAAATACATTTTATTTTGTGAACGATAAGGCTTCTGATATTCAATATTTTACCAATTGTCAGCAATCCCCATGATAAGAAAAATAACAACGGTGGCTACAAGCAGCAAAGTAGTGCAAATACAATGTTGTCTCAAATGCACTTTTTACTCCTGTCAAATGACAAATTGTTGAAAATTAAGCTGTTTTAGGAAATTTTTTAGTTGAAAAAAGGAAACTTTGTATAGATATTTCCTTGGTTTTGGTCTTTGCTTAGGGTATTTTGACACTGAAGTTAAAGATGAATACGGAAGAGGATTAGGGTCATGTGATTTCTTCTGAGAAAATAGTCATAATTCCCACTTTAATCTAAATAAATCTTCACTTTTGGTGAGAATTTTTCCTCCGTTTGAATCCTCTTCAGTAGAAAAACACTCATTTTAATTTAAAAATTAAATTGTCTCTGCTTCCGTTTGTCGAGAACAAATGCAAACCTTTAAGACATGAATGTACAACACATTTCTATTTCCTTCTTCCTTACTTCACAATTACCATCATTTAATCTATTTGTAATCTTTCCAGTTTTGTGGGGAATACAGAGATTGACGTGGACATCAAGAAGTACTACTGCAGAGCGGGAATCAAGAGTATTCAGGTAGGACTGCAGCGGGGAATATATCATGTGAAGTGCTATTAACATTCTCAATGCCATGTCATGATGTAGGTTTGTTAGCCAGGGTGACGTAGAATACAAATGGTCTCACTAAGAAGAGGTAGGTCACTTCAAGTGTTCAAACTATTAGACGATCATCAAAATAAGAGAAATAATTCACTCTTTTCCTGTTTTTAATCATTTTAAATGTAATATTTTTGTCTTTAGGGTTGTTGTTTGTTAGACAAGCAACACATGCACCAACAATTAGGATCCCTGCACTTGTAATTGACTTTTTTTTAAACTATTTTAAATGAACAATCAATAAATCAGAGGAACAATCAACTGATTACGTGATATTGAAAATATGTATTGGTTGCAGCCGTAGTCAGATTTGAATTTGTGGAATAATTGTATATATATATATATATACAATAGAATAAATAAAACTAGTACATTAATACTCAAAGTAATTCAGTTTGCATGCATTTAAACTTGAACTGCACATGCATATTTAGTTATGAGGATAAATAGGTACAAAAAATTGACAGACATTCAGACTGGTTTTCCATATAATGATAAAGACAATTATCCAATTATCAATTCTACGTTGCCTGATACTGTACAGCTCGTTTCAGCTGTATACAAGAGTTAAAATAACAACAATCCAGCCATTAAAACAAACAAAAACCCTGAATAAATTCATTCATTAACCCAGATTACCCCACGTAAAATGTCCTTTTCCTCATAATCAAGGCTCAGTAACAGTCATCATGTTATGTGACATATTTTCCTTGATGGTTTGAGAAGAAAAAGCAACTCAGAATCAGATATCATTAAAACGCTCATAATCTCCTCTTTAAGCAGTGTGTACAACTCAAAATCTGCTTTTGAGTTAACCCAGGATCCCCCACTTAAATTAAAATCTGATGTCCTTTTCCTAAGTACAGTAGCCTGTGATGTACCATGTTATGTGAAAGGATGGGTATCATTAAGGTTTTAACGGTACTACTACTTTTATCGATCCGGTCCTTTAACGGTACTTGTATCGGTTCTTTTAGAGAACAAAATAAGGTAAACTAACTAAACAAATTGTGAACAAAACTAACATTGCTTTTTATTTAAATTAAATAAATAATATTTCACATCAAAAGAAACAACAATGTTTTAACAAATCGTATTAAATAATCTGATGCCAGAATAGCTGACAAAATAAATAACTCAGTTACCTCTAATCATCAACCCCGTCTGGATGTGGTGCACTTTTGCTAAATGTTTAAACAAATTGCTCGTGTTACCGCCCTGACATGCTCAACTCTTATTCCTCTTTTGGTAACGAGCATTGTCCACATCGAGACGGGCAAAGTTTAACCACACCTTGGAGCGCGTTCTCTCTCCCATCTCGTGTGTGTGTGTGTGTGTGTTGCATGCATGTAGCAGCCGCGTGTGTGTAAACTGCCCCGCCCCCTCGCACACAGACGGGGGAGAGAGAGAGATCTCTCGTCTGGATTGGAGAGATCGAAAATACATCATATTCATAGACGCATGTTAGAAACTAGTTGGCGACACTAAGACTGCGATATAATGTTTCTGTAGCAATAATACATATGACATATATGTTTTAAATGTCTCCAGTACCGATAAAAACACTGATAACGTTGGAGCTTAACGGCGCATAAAACACACGTGATGACGTCACCAACGAATCGCCGACTGAAGTAGTTGGCAACTAATTTGGTCATCGATTTTAATCGATTAAGTCGATTAGTTGTTGCACCCCTAAGTAGTAATATAATACATGTTATTTATATAGCGCTTTTCCCGGTGCTCAAAGAGCAGCTGTGTGTGTATAAACTGCCCCGACCCCTCGCACACAGACGAGAGAGAGAGATCTCTCGTCTGGATTGGAAAGATGGAAAATACTAAATAATCATAATATATAATGTAATATAATGTTTATGTAGCAATAATACATATGAGATATTTTTTAAATGTCTCCAGTACCGATAAAAAGACCGATAACGTCGGGGCTTAACGGTACCACGGTCTTTAATAATTCAGCCCCGGGGCCCGTTTAATACCGGGGCTCGGTACCCATCCCTAGGTATGTGACATATTTTCCTTGATGATTTGAGAAGGAAAGCAACACAGATATCATTAGAAAGCTCATCATCCCCTCTTCTTAACTCTAAATCTGATCAGTTCTTTCAGACAGATGTTATCATCGACAGCAGCTCTCATTTTCTTTGACCCCTGTGTGACCTCTTGCCTTCTGCAGAAACACTTTTACATAATGTGTTGACACAGGCCTGATAAAGGAGCTGTTATCCTCTCCGCTGCATCAGGCCATATTTGCTGTTCAGAGATCAGAGAAAGTCAGCGCAGTCAATATTTGCTTTTAAACTGTACAGCTGCAGTGTGTCGGCTTTTAGAGACTGCTGAAGAAATAAGTAGTTAGAGCTGAGCTTGAATGATGAGTCACTTTCTGAGACTTTCTCACGCCACTTACTCCAGAACAGGACTGCTCCTTCTGTTAAAACCATGGTGGAATATAATGAAGAACATTCACTTATTAGGGTCTGAGACCTAGGTCGGCGAAGACCCTATTGAAATCGGTCGCACAGCGACCGATAAACCTTTGACCCCCGCAATATATGTGAAAACTCACCAAATGTTGCACGCGCGTCAGAAGTGGTGCAACTTCAGATGTGTAATTGGTTCCGGAACTTTGCGTCAAAAATTGCGTAGGCCACGCCCACTTCCGTTTTTAACGTAAACTCCCCCCACTTTAACTTTCACCGAAACGAACGAAACTCGCTACGCATATCTAGGGTGCGGAGACAAACCAAAAAGCCTCTTGGAGGGGTATAAAATAACGTACAGGAAGCCGGCCATTTTGAATTTGGCGTCGGAAAAACGCGATTTATCGCGTTTTTCGTCCTCCGCACGAAATCTATCTTCTCCCAGGGACTTTATCCGTACGACTCGAAATTCGTCGGGTAGCGTCTCGAGACATGGGCAATTCAAAGTTATCACGGAAGTCTTTTTCTTTCGCACGGCGTAGCCGTGATTTGGCGTCAAAGTTCGCGTTCGCTCGATGCTCGGCCATCCCTCGCCATGGAACACGATGATGTCATAACGCCAACTGACATACTCAGAACGCCACCAAACTTCACATGATGGTCAACACTGCGGCCCTGAACAGCTCTACGTCAAATTTGATGTTACTTAATATGGCGTTACCATGGCAACGAATCCCTCGCCATAAAACACGGTGTCGCTGTAACTCCAATGGACACGGTCCCATCGTCCCCCAATCTTCACTTTTATATCACCGGTCCATGCCTCAACAGCTCTACGTGAAATCTGAGATCTCACCGTATGCCGTTTCCATGGCAACACATCCCACGCCGTAAAACACGATGTTGTCTTAATTCAATGGAAAAGCTTCCAAACGGCACCAGACTTCAGATGACAGTTAATGGTCCAGCCCTCAACAGCTCTACGTGAAATCTGAGATCTCATCGTATGCCGTTTCCATGGCAACGAATCACTCGCCGTAAAACACGATGTCGCTGTAAATCCAATCGACACGGTCCCATCGTCCCCCAATCTTCACTTTTATATCACTGGTCCATGACTCAACAGCTCTACGCGAAATTTGAGATCTCACCGTATGCCGTTTCCATGGCAACGCATCCCACGCCGTAAAACACGATGTTGTCTTAATTCAATGGAAAAGCTTCCAAACGGCACAAGACTTCAGATCATGGCTACTAGTCCGGCCCTCAACAGCACTATGCCAATTATGGGATGTCATCATATGCCGTTTCCATGGCAACGAATCACTCGCCGTAAAACACGATGTTGTCTTAAGTCAATGGAAAAGCTTCCAAACTGCACCAGACTTCAGATGACGACTACTAGTCCGCCCCTCAACAGCTCTACGCCAATTCTGGGATGTCATCATATGCCGTTGCCATGGCAGTAGATCACTCGCCATCAAACACAATGTTTACTGTATGATACTGCTGTAACTCCCATTTACGTTGTCCGATCGGCCTGAAACTTCCCACGTTTGCCAACGGCCGAGTCCGGAAAACTCCTGCATGATACCTCGACGTGCGGACAACAGCCTGCGGAGCGTCGAAGACCCGCTCAACGCTGCTTGCAGCTTTAATTTATATTAATTTTAGCAGGATATGAAAATCAGCTTTCTCATGTAGTTAAATATATAGCTTTTATTAGTAGATATGAACTTACTCCCCTCGTTTTGTTTAGACATTTTATTTATCTTGCCTTATTTAAGATTTTCTGCCGCTGAAACGATCTCCAAAGTCCATCATTTTATTATTTTTATTGTACTAAGTTCAATTTAATGATACCTTTACTTCACATTTGTTTTACTCTATTTACTTAATATTAATTAATTTAATTTATTGTATTTATTTTTATTATCTATTTATTCATGTATTTTATTATTTTAAAGTATTTATTATTATGTTTTTATTTATGCATTTATTTTATTTTTCTTACATTTTAATATTACTACTTTTCCTAATCTAATTTCTTCTACCTCGGGTTAAAATGCATCCTGACACACACAATCTCCTGCCCATGATTTATAAACCTTCAGGAAGGAGGTTGGTGTGTATAAACAAAATGAAAGGCTATCTTAAATCTCTCCACTGCGCCCATTTTGATGATCTTAATGTTGGTATTTGATTACTCACAGTGAGTTACGACCAAATTTGGTGCTGCAGACGGGCAGGCTGCATATCTGAGCTCTGAGTCACTGACAGAGACGTCTTCAAGTGGAAAACATTCACTGATGTTACTTCAGAATCAGAATACCTTTTATTATTCCCACAGAGGGGGGGGGGGGTGTGTGTGTGTGTGTGTGTGTTGTGTGTGTGTGTGTGTGTGTGTGTGTGTGTGTGTGTGTGTGGTGTGTGTGTGTGTGTGTGTGTGTGTGTGTGTGTGTGTGTGTGTGTGTGTTGTGGTGTGTGTGTGTGTGTGTGTGTGTGTGTGTGTGTGTGTGTGTGTGGTGTGTGTGTGTGTGGTGTGTGTGTGTGTGTGTGTGTGTGTGTGTGTGTGTGTGTGTGTGTGTGTGTGTGTGTGTGTGTGTGTGTGTGTGTGTGTGGTGTGTGTGTGTGTGTGTGTTGTGTGTGTGTGTGTGATGTGTGTGTGTGTGTGTGTGTGTGTGTGTGTGTGGTGTGTGTGTGTGTGTGTGTGTGTGTGTGTGTGTGTGTGTGTGTGTGTGTGTGTGTGTAATACATAAGGAATAGCAGCTTAGAAAAAGATGATAAATGGCCTTACATGATATGTTATGGGACTTTTTAAAAAGACAATGAACATAAATACGTTTCAGTGAGATATTAAACATCACTAAGGACTAACTGACTAATTCATAATGTGTTGTATTATGTCCTCTGCAGCTCCATGGGACGCTGAGAGTGGTGATGGAGCCTCTGCTGGGAGACATGCCTCTGATCGGAGCGCTGTCCGTCTTCTTCCTCAAGAAACCAGTGAGTATCTTTTTAGTCTTAAAGGGGACCTATCATGCAAAATGCACTTTGTGATGTCTTTTATACATAAATATGTGTCCCTGGGAACTCACGCAGCATCAGAAAATAAAACCCTCTCTCTTTTCCTCCGTACCCAAATCTCTAAAAACGGGGCTACAACGGAGCTGATACAGATTTGCGTCCGATATGACGTAATATCTGAAATGTGGACCCACGGCCCTATCAGAAACGTTGCTATCAGAAACAATGCCCGACTGTTTTGGACGTAATATGGTCGGTGTTTACATTAGCATCGCTAACACTCAGAGCTAACCTGTACTGGAGAGCATGTGTGTGAAGAAGCAGGAAATAAAAAGGAACTCACCTTGTGGTATAACCGGCAAGAGAGAAAGCCTTTGAGCTCCATACTGTTTCAGAAACAATCCTTGATAATCCATGATATGGCGTTTCATCACCGCAGTATTTAGTTTAGACAGTAGCTGCCGGGTCCCGCATGAGCTCAGCCCCCCTTTTTTTTTTTTAAAGCTTTATGCCCCAAATCAGCACTTTTGAAACAGGAAGTGAAATAGAGGGATATGAGGCATGGCTAGAATGGGTGATCTGTTTGGTGTTTTGAGCAAAACACTTCATAGACATGTTTTTTAATATATTTGTATATATCTGAGACCTATGCTATTGCCTAAAAATAGCATGATAGGTGACCTTTAAAGACAAAAAAACAGGTGTGCAGGTTGTCCATTTTTTGTTTTAACCCCCCCCCCCCCCCCCCCCCCCTACAGAATAAGACAAGATTAATGGTACAAAAACATTTAAAATGATAGACAAACATATCAGAATCAGAAACAGGTTTATTACCAGGTAGGTTGAGACGTACGAGGAATTTGACTTATCAAAGAACACAGATAGAGAACTATTTTAACACTGTAGTAAAAAAAGACTATGGTTGAAACCACAGCACAAAAAACTAAAACAACAAAAAAAACATGTTAGTCATCATGGTTGACTTTAGTAAATCTGTGTTCTAATTCAGCTTAACAATGATGAATCAGTTAGGGAAGAGTACACAGTTTCAAACTTTTCATGTACGTTAAAAATGGTTGCACCAGTGAGTATCTTTGACCTCTTTTCTCTGGTCTTCTTTATCAGTGCATTCCTCGCTCACTGCTCTCTTCCTTCCTCTGATTCTGCACGTCTTCCAGATGCAGCCTTTGATACGGGAACACTAGGGCTGCACGATTACACGGTTATGCACGAAACTACTTTGCGATTATTATCTTGACTGGTTTTGCCATTGGAGGGATTGATGTATTATGTATTTATTTCAACAAGGACCATGCATACAGATACATTAATCTCAGCAAAGAGAAGACATGAATTATGCCAGATGTTTAGCTAGTAGCTCATTTCCATCTGCAGTCCTTAGGTCCTTATGGTCATTTTTTGCATCATTATTCTCACTTGTTTAAGAGGATCTGTATTGAACAAAGATATTTTATAAAGTCTGTAGAATACGATTTGTAGACTGGGATATCTATGCAGTTAATTCACAAACATTTGAATATTGCACTAGCCCAGATCGCCATTTTGATTCCATTTCAATGAATGTTGCAGCCCTAACCGGTTCCCGTGTGTGTGTGTGTGTGTGTGTGTGTGTGTGTGTGTGTGTGTGTGTGTGTGTGTGTGTGTGTGTGTGTGTGTGGTGTGTGTGTGTGTGTGTGTGCTGTGTGTGTGTGTGGTGTGTGTGTGTGTGTGTGTGTGTGTGTGTGTGTGTGTGTGTGTGTGTGTGTGTGTGTGTGTGATGTGTGTGTGTGTGTGTGTGTGTGTGTGTGTCGTGTGTGTGTGTGTGTGTGTGTGTGTGTGTGTGTGTGTGTGTGTGTGTGTGTGTGTGTGTGTGTGTGTGTGTGGTGTGTGTGTTGTGTGTGTGTGTGTGTGTGTGTGTGTGTGTGTGTGTGTGTGTGTGTGTGTGTGTGTGTGTGTGTGTGTGTGTGTGTGTGTGTGTGTGTGTGTGTGTGTGTGTGTGTGCCATCAAGATCTTTAAACAGACATGTGAAATAGTTTCCTCTCCTCAGAAAATTAGCATATTCTATATTTTGATCTGTCATTTGCATATGGCCCGAGTAGACGTCTGTGCACAGGTCTTAGGATAAAGCACACGTTAACAAAGAGAGAGGGTTATTATTTCTCTACAAGAAGATTATTATTTAAGGTGACATTTTTGAGTCATCGTTTTTTCCAATATGAGTTGTTCTGAGAAATCCCCCGCGCTGCTTTCTTTGTCTTCCTGTGCCAGCGTGGCAGAACGGCATTGTGGGTAACCGTGGTCTACATCTAGAGCGCTAACTAGGCCACAGAAAGACACACACACACACACACACACACACACACACACACACACACACACACACACACACACACTACCATTCTAAGAAGGGAAATATTGTACCACTAAAAAACAGGATGTTTTGATGTGGATTAACACATTTTTAAGTACCCTAAATAATGTATGAACTAACAGCACACTATTGGATGCAATTTAGTTTGTTTTTTTGTCATTTATTTCACATTGTCAGCTTCTGAAATTATTTTAAGTTTTTGTTTATTTTTGATAACTTGTCTAATAAATGAGTATTCTTACTCCATAAACTATAAGTACATATGATCCCACTTACCTAAATACCTTTTGCAACACAGTACTTCCTTCTAATAGAGTATTTCTACAGTGTTGTACTAGTACTTTTACTTCTAAGGATCTGAATGAAGGGATCTTTGGGAAGCTGTCTTCATTTCTGCAGTTTCATGCGTCACTTTTCCTCATCAGCTGTACAACTGCTCCCAGTACTTCACAATTTAAGCCTCTTTCAAAACCCTTTTTCATTCAACATTGCAGTCACTCTTAATCTGTAACACACACACACACACACACACACACACACACACACACACACACACACACACACACCATGTTTACATCACTTCAGGGGACATTACATTGACTTACATGTATTTCCTGGAGACTTATCCTAACCCTAACCATAACCAACACATGCCTAACCCTTACACACACACACACACACACAGACACACACACACACACACACACACACACACACACACACACACACACACACACACACACACACACACACACACACACACAGAGAGACGCGTGCCATTCCACCTTAAGTTCACATATATGCTAACCCTGACAGCTGGCACGAGGCCCGCGCTCCTCTCATGGTGCCTGCTGTTATTTTAAGATTCCCAACATGAGTCTGGTGATATGGACCTTACAGTTGGTGTGATGAAGATTACAACACCTGGAACAATGGGAGAAATTACATTCAACTATAATACCTTTTTTATTAGTCAGTTTAAAAACTATGTGAAGATTATTTTGGAGATTTGAGATTAAAATGAGAATTCTGAGAAACAAATAATTCCAATTTTCTTCAGAAAATCGCAGAATTCTGACATTTCTCTCCTGAAATGTTAGGATATATTACTTTAACAACATCTGGAACCTTATTTTATACAGACAGGTTACGTTTTCTGTGTTTACTGGGTTTTTCAATTTGGTTTTTTTCCAGTCTTCTTACTGCAAGTCTTTCCCACTTTCCTGCAAAGTGTGTGTTGCTAAAAAAAGGAATCCATATCACCTCCATCTATTTCAAGTAATATAAGGAGACCTAACTTTCGTTTGATAAGAAACACTTTTCTTATTTTGACTTCTCCTTATCCACTGTTGTATCTAATAGCTGTTAATTTGTTTATGCAATGTCATTTACAAAGTACCTCAGCACAGACTTCCTGTTTGTTTGAGAGCTAACCCAATCAGCTCTATTGATTAACGGGTCGATTGAGTTACAGTCGGATCTGCAGAGTCATGGTGCCGGCACTGAGGAGCTGAGAATATGTAGAAGAAAAATCATTGAGATTTAGTTCAAAAGCTAAAACTTAAAATCACTTTTCTTAATGTTTCTGCTGCAGCTGAGAGTTGTTGTATTTATTTATTTATTGAAGTAGATTTAAAAATAGTTCCTTATAATTATGTTGGAATATATTAAGCTTTTTTTTATCTGATTGATCCGATTAGATTAATTGTCCATATTAAATCCTGACGTTTTATAATTGAAATACTGTAAATGTAACTATTTTACTTAACAGAATATTGCACACACAAACAAAAATATTACAGGCCATTAAATGTGTTATGAATACTTTAAAACCTAAGTTGCTATCAGGGGAAAATCCACCATTTGATAGGTAGTGAAATGATTCATACAAATCCTCAAATATGCAAATGTGATGTTTCTTTCCTACAAAAAAATCTCAAAAATAGTCACCAGAAACCTTAAACATTTGTGAATAATTTTTCTGCAACTTCTTAATAAACCTATTTGATCGTCACATTAAAGACTCATCTGGTGTCAAAACAAAAGTCTAAAAGTGTGTTTATGTAATTGTGATTTCCATTAATATGTTTAACAATGAGAGAGGTCATGTAATATACATGTTAAACACTTTATGTATTTACTTATTTTCCTTTTTTCTTCATCTATTATCAAAATCTTAATCATATTTCTTCTCTTTTTCAGTTGCTGGACATCAATTGGTCGGGACTCACAAACATGCTGGATATTCCTGGTGTCAGGTGTGTGTGTGTGTGTGTGTGTGTATTACTATACTTGTGGGGACCTAAATCTGTTTACACAGTCACGTGTGGGGACTCGCCTTCCTTATGGGGACATAATGGAGGTCCCCATAAGGGGAATCATTAATTTTAGGGTGAAGACTTGGTTAGGGTTAGGTTAAGGTTAAGGGTTAGGCATGTGTTGGTTATGGTTAAGGTTAGGACAAGTCTCCAGGAAATGCATGAAAGTCAATGTAATGTCCCCTGAAGTGATGTATACATGGTGTGTGTGTGTGCATCCTTTTGAAAGTGTATAACCATTTGCATGTCTGTGTGTCATTTGCTGGTCGCTGCATCCATTGATTTTACCTTGAATTACTCAGTTTACTTTGTTGTAAAGAACAAAGGTGCACACACACTCTTTAGTATTTTTTGCAGCGTGTAGAAGAGAAAATCTTTCCTGACAGAATAAAGCTGGTGCTTTGAAGAGACGTTCCCAGTGGACCCACTCTCTTACTGCTGCTGAAATTATATTACGTTTACCAGCGGATCACAGAATGGATTTCCCCACTAAGTATCGGTATTTACTATTTATAGTAACGTGATTATAAAAGTGGAGCCGCCGCAGACTGAGTTGTGATGTTGGATAGATTATGCAATTCCAGACGACATCAAATACATCAGTAAATACCCCACTGCTGAATTTTAAAAACGGTGGTTGCTATCAAGTGTCTAAATGAGACGACTAAACGTCATCACGACCAACATTAGCCGCCTTTAGCTTAGCGGTGGTGACATGAAGTCATGTGACCGTGCTGTAGTTCCTTTATAGCCCAACATTAGCCGGCTTTAGCTTAGCGGTGGTGACGTGAAGTCATGTGACCGTGCTGTAGTTCATTTATAGCCCAACATTAGCCACCTTTAGCTTAGCGGTGGTGACATGAAGTCATGTGACCGTGATGTAGTTCATTTATAGCCCAACATTAGCCGCCTTTAGCTTAGCGGTGGTGACATGAAGTCATGTGACCGTGATGGAGTTCCTTTATAGCCCAACATTAGCCACCTTTAGCTTAGCAGTGGTGACGTGAAGTCATGTGACCATGCTGTAGTTCCTTTATAGCCCAACATTAGCCACCTTTAGCTTAGCAGTGGTGACGTGAAGTCATGTGACCATGCTGTAGTTCCTTTATAGCCCAACATTAGCCACCTTTAGCTTAGCGGTGGTGACGTGAAGTCATGTGACCATGCTGTAGTTCCTTTATAGCCCAACATTAGCCACCTTTAGCTTAGCGGTGGTGACATGAAGTCATGTGACCGTGATGTAGTTCCTTTATAGCCCAACATTAGCCACCTTTAGCTTAGCAGTGGTGACGTGAAGTCATGTGACCATGCTGTAGTTCCTTTATAGCCCAACATTAGCCACCTTTAGCTTAGCGGTGGTGACGTGAAGTCATGTGACCATGCTGTAGTTCCTTTATAGGCCAACTTTAGCCACCATTAGCTTAGCGGTGGTGACGTGAAGTCATGTGACCGTGCTGTAGTTCCTTTAGCTTTTTACTTCTAAAACCATGAATTGATTTTAAAATAATCCTGCTGAGTATCGAATCATTCATTTGCAACAGATCTTATTTTCTGCTATATTCCAAAAGCCAATGGAATAATCCCAAGCTTTTTGTCAGGGAGATGCTAACTTCCATGTCGGCCTACAAAAATACATCATCATCCATCACTCTTTTGCCAATTATTTAGCCAAGAAGCTAGCTCGGCTAATAACAACAGTGTGTATTTTTTAAACCTGACTTTTCCCCATATTGTTGTACATGCAACAGGAGACATCCTATAATAACACAGAGTGCTGCTAACACACTGCTAGCTGGTTTCCTCTGTGTTGACCTGTTGCTGTATCCTGCTGATTCACTGTTTGTTTTCAGCAGAGAAACACTGCGGTTTCCAAAAGACTCCGCCCTGTGAAATGTAGCTTTCCTTGTTTGACGAGTTTGTGTGAAATCACCAGTGTGTGTGTGTGTGTGTGTGTGTGTGTGTGTGTGTGTGTGTCTGTCTGCTGAAGCCCTGCCCTTGCCCCACCCTCCTCTCTCTCTCCCTCCCTTCCTGTGAGAGCCCTCATTATTTCCTCAGTGAGGATTTGCGTTTTTCGTTCTGATGCAGCAGGAAATCCTGATGTGTTTAGTGAGTCAGCAGACCAGGAATTAACTGAGATCAACTTTAGAGTCTGATACACAGACCCAGGATCAGCTCTTTCAGGGGGGATTTATTACAGTAGTGAGGCAGAGCAGCTGTGTTTTAATACACGATGCTGCTGCCCTCTAGAGGAAATTAGGGTTAACATCAATGCATACTTACATATGAAAACAGATATTCTTTATTATATCCACAACGGGGAATTGTACATTGTTACAACAGAGAGACAAGCACATGTTAGTAAAATCACATTAAATAAAATCACAAAATATTGCAGTATTTCAAGTGAAAGTATAAAACATCACAAAACCTGTGGATTTAAAACATGGTTTGAAGTGAAAATACATTTGATAAAAGTCATTAACTTTCGTTTTGTCTTTAAAATATCAGAACATTTTGGAACATTTAGGTTTCTTAATCTTATATCTTGTCTGTCTCGAACCCAAAGAAATGCACTTCTTTGAAATGTAAAAAATAAACTGGAAATCTCAATATTTGAGTCCCAAAAAAACAGCAATGTCTGCCCTTTATGAAAAAGTACTTTGAACTTTGAATTAATCATTTTTGTTTTGTTTTAAATATCTTGTTACTCTTTATAATTGTGCTCCTCCTCCTCCTCCTCCTCCTCCTCCTCCTCCTCCTCCTCCTCCTCCTCCTCCTCCTCCTCCTCCCTCAGTGGTTTGTGTGATAACATCATCCAGGACGTCATCTACAGCTTCCTCGTTCTTCCCAACCGGATCACCATTCCTCTGGTGGGAGAGGCCCAGCTGGCCCAGCTCCGCTTCCCCATTCCCCAGGTAACACACTCACTCACACTCACTCACTCACACTCACTCACACTCACACTCACTCACTCACACTCACTCACTCACTCACTCACTCACTCACTCACTCACTCACTCACTCACTCACTCACTCACTCACTCACTCACTCACTCACTCACTCACTCACTCACTCACACACTCACTCACTCACTCACTCACACTCACACTCACTCACTCACACTCACTCACTCACTCACTCACTCACTCACTCACTCACTCACACACTCACTCACTCACTCACACTCACTCACTCACTCACACTCACACTCACACTCACACTCACTCACTCACACACAGTCGTATGCTCATAATATCAATACATTTAGGCACATTTAAGTTTGACTCACACACACAAACTCTCACACACACACACACACACACACACACACTCACAACAGACATTTTACAGTGTCATAGTTTTCAGACAATAAGTAAATTAATGAATCTGTTAATTGGCAGAGAATTATTTCACAAAACAATTGGTTGTTTTATATCATCTTCTGTTATCTGTATTCTGTGTATTTACATTTAAATGTTCGCATATGGGTCGAAAAAATCAAAATAAACTAAACCAAATGTATCAAACTTCCTATTTTTTGAGTGAATTGCTCATCCTGTCTCAAGAAGCAAGCAGAAAAACTGCTAAATTACAAAAAATGTGTACTTATTCCTGCATTTTACTACTACCATTGTGTCACTTGCACTATTTTCTTGCACTGTTCTTTTAATATGAAGTATTCTTGTTGATTTGGAGGCGCCTCGAACTTCAGATTTGGATTGCCAACAACTCCTCTGTAACCATTGTGCAATTGCCAATAAAGCTTTTGATTCTCTAATCCTCAGGGCGTGCTGAGGATCCACTTCATCGAGGCGCAGGAACTGCTGGGTAAAGACAAGTTTTTGGGCGGGCTGATCAAAGGGAAGTCCGACCCATACGGTGTCATCAAGGTGGGAACGCAGCTCTTCCAAAGCAAAGTCATCCACGAGACCGTCAACCCCAAGTGGAACGAAGTGTATGAGGTAAAGTCTGACAGAGGATCCGTACTGTAGAGTGGTGCAGTGACGCGTCCTAAAACCAGGAAGTGAGTCAGCATTTCACCACTTCCTGTTCCCTCGTCTCACAGCCAATGAGATTTCTCCATAGGATTTAGGAAAATATCTGGAAATAAGGTCTGTGGTTGAGACAAATGTAAGAGACGGATCACGTTTTGTTCTACGACATTAAATCCATCAGCAGTGACCCCACTGGTGATTTCTGAAGAGTTGACGTGTCTGAAAAACGATGGTTGTTACCAAGTGGCTGAATAGGACTACAGAAGTTGTGGAGGCCGTTGTACGTCATTACGCCGAACACGTAAACACTCCTCTAAGTTTGTTTGCCCTGTTCTGCTTGAAAGCAAGTCCCTGCCTCCTGCAGACTGTTCAAACAAACGCTTCAACTCGTACCATTTAGAATCTGTATGTTTGAATATGGATCTGAAGTTGGCGTGACGTTGAAGTCGTGGGACCCTGTTCGTTTATAGCATAACGTTAGCATTTTGCTTCTGGCGACTAGATTTATGATTCGAACATTATAAAAGCAGTGTAGACATGTGGAGATTATCCGGCTGAACAAAACGTGCATTTATCAAACAGGTTTGTTTTCCACAGACCTTATTTCCAGCTATTTTCCAAAATCCTATGGAGAAATCCTGTTGCTTTTTTGTCGAGGGAACCAGCAGCTTACTTCCGGGTAAATACGTCACCCCTGCACCGCTCTATTAGAGTTAAAATGGGGGGGGGAAATGATGTTATACTTTATTGTTGAGGCAAGACGAGTCTATTTTTACAGCACAAGGCAATTAAAACATTAAAAGCCATAGTGCAAACTATCATCAAAAAGACAAGAAATTACTAATTAAAACAATATGAAATGGAATAAGACAGGTATAACATGCTTAAGTTATTGTGTAGTGTTGGGTATAAATAGGTATTTGATTTAAATATGTATTTTATTCATCTTTGGGTCATTTTTTGTAATTTTAAAATAGAATACAAGGAAAAAATGAAATTGAAAATAAATATATATTTACAGTATATAAACATAAGAAGTGAAAGTAAAAAAGAGCACATTGTACGACAGTATTTAACAATAATAAATATTCATCCATCCATCTTCTCCCGCTTATCCGTGGTCGGGTCTTGGAGGTATCAGTTCCAGCAGAGAGCCCCAAACGTTCCTTTCCCCTCATCAACCAGCTCTGACTGGGGGGTCCCAAGGCGCTCCTGGGCCAGCGAAGAGATATAATCCCTCCACCTGGTCCTAGGTCTACCCCTCGGTCTCTTCCCAGCTGGACGTGCCTGGAACACCTCCCTAGAGAGGCGCCCAGGTGGCATCCTTACTAGGTGCCCGAACCACCTCAACTGGCTCCTTTTGACGCGAAGGAGGAGCGGTTCAACTCCGAGTCCCTCCCAGATGACTGAACTTCTCACCTTATCCCTAAGGGAGACGCCCGCCACCCTGCGGAGGAAACCCATCTCGGCCGCTTGTATCCGCGATCTCGTTCTTTGGGTCATGACCCATCCTTCATGACCTTAGGTGAGGGTAGGAAGGAAAATGGCCCGGTAGACAGAGAGCTTTGCCTTCTGGCTCAGCTCTCTTTTCGTCACCACGGTGCGGTAAAGCGACTGCAGTACCGCTCCCGCTGCTCCGATTCTCCGGCCCATCTCACGCTCCATTGTTCCCTCACTCGAGAACAAGACTAAATAATAAATATGTGTATTAATATTTATAAAGACATTATTAATGCTCCAGATCATTCCTATGGATCTACAGAAACAATCCAGGTTATACAGCCTAAGTATTGTCCATAATTGTCCGTTTTAAATGGAGTTTTATTTGTATTTTCAGGCCTTGATGTACGAACACGCTGGACCAAACATGCTGGAGCTCGAGCTGTTCGATGAAGACACGGATAAGGACGACTTCCTCGGGAGGTAAATGTTCAAACTTATTAAAAAACGTATTGGAAAGTGAAACCCCTCTCTTTCCCCCTGCTCTGTTTCTCTCTCTTTACAACCTCTGATCTTTGTTAAACTCAAAACACAAGCCTTATATATTCTGTCTCTGAAAACGTTATGATATTTAAATACTTTGCATGAATTAAGGCAAGATTTAAAAGTGCTGACACGACTCTAATGTGTGCAGCAGAGAGGAAATAATAATGATAATAGTTTCTAGAGTATCATTGTGTTTTTCTCTTGTCTTATACTAATCATATTTGTCACACTAATAGGATTTCACACTCTATTAACCTGAAGCTCCCTCACAGCGACTCTTACTGGGGTTTAGTGTGTGTGTGTGTGTGTGTGTGTGTGTGTGTGTGTGTGTGTGTGTGTGTGTGTGTGTGTGTGTGTGTGTAGTGTGTGTGTGTGGGTGTGTGTGTGTGTGTGTGTGTGTGTGTGTGTTGTGTGTGTGTGTGTGTGTGGTGTGTGTGACTGTGTGTGTGTGTGTGTGTGTGTGGTGTGTGTGTGTGTGTGTGTGTGTGTGTGTGTGGTGTGTGGTGTGTGTGTGTGTGTTGTGTGTGTGTGTGTAGTGTGTGTGTGTGTGTGTGTGTGTGCGTGTGTGTGTGTGTGCTGTGTGTGTGGGTGTGTGTGTGTGTGTGTGTGTGTGTGTGTGTGTGTGTGTGTGTGTGTGTGTGTGTGTGTGTGTGTGTGTGTGTGTGTGTGTGTGTGTGTGTGTGTGTGGTGCAGATCTTCGAATTAGAGGATAGCAAGTTCAAACCCCACTGCAGTCAGCATGTCGTTGTGTCCCTGAGACACTTCACCCCAAATTGCTCCTGTGGGGATTGTCCACAGTACTGAGTATGTTAGTCGCTTTGGATGAAAGCGTCTAACAAGTAACATGTAATGTGTGTGTGATGAGTCGGCACTTATAGAAAGTTCGGTGTGTTTTGTTTTTCAGTCTGATGATCGACGTGGCCGAGCTGCAGAAGGAGCAGAAGGTGGACGAGGTAATCTGCAGATTTTACTCTCAAATTTAAATAGGACACTTTTAGTGAAATATTTGCTCCTCTGCGCTCATTACTGTCATTTATTTTCTTTACACGTACAAGAGGTTACCTGTCACTCAAACCTTGTGTGGAAAACCCATTAGTATTGCATTTTATGTTGATAAAAGTTGCATTTTTGCAAGTTAAATTCAGTTGTTCCCTCCTGTTAGCCATGATGCATAATCAGCATTATAGTGACGACACTCCCGATGAATTGAGACGCTAGAGAGACTAAACTTGACTCATTGCGATTCAACAAAGCGTCCGTAGTGAAGACACGTTTATGATGTTTAATAAAGAAGGTAAAACAAACAATAACCGAGGTATGATGACCAAAGATTGTCGGCTTCTTATATAACATCATCTGATAAAGGGGATTATCAGACTTTAATGTTATAACCATCATTTTAAAAAGTGTCATTAAAATAATTTGTGGTGAAGAGTAGCAAGAACAGTTATTTTGATCTGTAAAAATATTGCAAAAACAATCGCCTTCACTTCTAAAATCCATATATTGTTATTTATGAGATATAATTGAATGCAAGAGGGTGGACATTGTCTATAAAAAGTATTCTGATATTAACAATAAGACCTTTTTTCTGTGTCTGCAGTGGTTTGTGATAGAAGACGTGGCGACAGGGAAGATTCACCTGAAACTGGAGTGGTTATCTCTGCTGCCCTCACCGGAGAAACTGGACCAGGTACGAAAAACGAACACAATTAGTATAAGCGAGTAGAATTTACTTGAATTCTGACGTTTTTTCTCAAAATCTCAAAAATCTGACTTTTGTTCAAAATCTCAAAATTCTGACTTTGTTTCTCAAAATTCTGACTTTTTGCAAAAAATCTCAAAATCCTGACTTTTTTTCTCAAGATTCTGACTTTTTCTGAACATATGTCTATCTCCATAGGAAGAGGAAGAGGAAGAGTACATTCAGTGTTTTCCATACAATACAAACATGGACATTTAAGCTCTTCCAATGAGGCCTTGCAGGAGAAATTGACCCCCAAAACTAACCAGTGTCTCTTCCTCTTCCTCTCAGGCGCTAACGAGCATTAAAGCTGATCGCAATCAGGCGAACGACGGCCTCTCGTCGGCGTTGCTCGTCGTCTTCCTGGATTCAGCAAGAAATCTGCCGGTAAGTCAGTCTGATCCAACTTCCCAGCATGCACCTGGGCTAATGATTTCCAGTTTTAACCCTCAAGTCAAGAGGCGCTTTCACACCGGAGTACTTTTCCCAAGAACTAGGCCGATAGGGGGGGGAGATTTGGTTTCACACCAAAAAGATCTGGAACTAGTCCCTAGTTCACGCAAACCTTTTCACCCCCAGATAGTTCCTGCTAGAGAGGGGGTACTTTCCTGGGGAGGAAATGGTTCGTGGGTGTGTCGGCCACACTAACAATTTCTGATTGGCTGGGCGAATTGCAAACCACGCCCCGTAAAACACCAAAAAGTTTTGTGAAGCCGCCATTTTATTTGCTGGCATTAGCATTATTAGCATTAGCATTAGCCCCGCGCACCAACGGAGAGAGACTAACTTATGGCAACACAAAAGAAAACATGGGAGCGGTGGAGAGATGAGGAGGTGTCGGCGCTTCTGGCGATTTACTCGGAAGGCTTCAGTAGAAGCTGCTGGGAGTCCCAGCAGCTTCTACTGAAGCCAGTCCCCAACTCCGGGGGACTCCGGGACTTCGGGTGGCAGTATACGCCGTGAAGTTGTTTGCGGCCTGCCAGTAAACCCAAAGCAGAAGCAGAAGAAGAAGAAGTGATGTCAGCGGCTTCATTTGCGTAATCCTCCCTCAGGAACTTATTCCGGTGAGAATGCGATCTGCTAGACAGTTACAGGGACTAAAGAGTTTGGGGGGACTAAGTACCGGGAACTAAGTACCGCAAAGTACTTGGTGTGAAAGCGGCTAAGGAGAGAAAAAGGGGGTTTGTTGTTGATTGTGTTTTGGAAAGCAACTTGTTTTTAAGATATAGGGACTGTTGTGCCCTGTCTGTTATAAATCTGACTCTTTCTGAACTTTTTAACTTAACATGTTGATTTCTCTGCTTATTTTGTGTTATTTAGTTTTTACGAGACTCTCCGTAACACTGTTGATGTATTTTTACATCATTTTTTTTAATTATTGCTGTAGGTTGCTGTCTTTGTTGCTGTGTGGTTGAATACTCTTAATGAGTATTTCCTAATTTCCCAACCATGAGATGCTGCCGGAGTTTAAAAACACACATTGTTGGGAACAGATGAAGAGTTTTTGACATCCAGTTTTAGCTTGTTGACTTCAGTCTTTCACTCATTTTCTTTTCTGAACTTATTTTCTGTTCTTCACTCCATTTCCTCTCAAATATACCATAGAATAAGCTAAAGCCTACCAAATAATAGTGATTCATGTTGTCATAGTGCTTTATTCGGATATCTTTACAAATCAAAGTTATTATTAGTGTGTGTTCTTATGAACTTTTTTGAAAGTTTATTTATTTTTTTAAATATGCTAAAATCAATATTTGCTTCAATGCTAAATATTCTTCTGTTTGATAAAATAACATAATACATTAAATATTTTACTCATGTATGAACTAGTACTGGTGCAGCAGTTCTATCAGTCAAGTAAGTCTACATTTGTTTCCTAAATAAAATAATAGAAATTGTATAAAACGGTAAAAAATATATACTCATTATGTCAAAAAATGTAGTCTTTTTTATTAAATATTATTATAACGTAAAACCACATTTGAAATAAACCTCTTGAAATGGATTTGCCTAAAATAAAACATTATTATTATTATTTCATCTGGCAGTAGTTGTAGCTGTTCACAATTCTATCACGCAGTATTTCCTGATTGAAATACCTTTTATTTGTTAGCTTTAACCTCCGTAGTGCAGGCTTACCTTCCTCTTTTCAGCCCCTTCTTCTTCCTCCTCTTCCTCTTCCTCATCTCTGAAGAGCGTCTTCGAGGGGAACTTGGGTTCGGGATACTTAAAAGAGAGGCGGGCGGCGGGCCTCGTGTTTTGCGAGAACACGGCTTCTCTCTATAGGACGTTATTTGTGAGTGGGTTTGATCACTGATAGATAACATCTGCTCGACGTCATGCTACCCTTTTTGTTACGTTTGTTAAAAAAAGAAATCGTTTGGAGTGTTTGCCTGATGAGCATGAATCCCGACTCGTGCATGAGAATTCATTCAATCATTTTATTCATTATTTGTTTTAGGAATAACCCGTGTTTGAAAACCATAGCAGTGGTGGGCGGAAGCAACATGCTAATCATGCTAAATACAGCGCTAGCTAAGCAGCAGTTGGTCAAAAAGACTTATCACCCACAGATTGCTTAAAAAATACCTCATGACCTAGAGGGGGTTCAACACACTCTAAGGAACACTTTCGTTTTGTTTACTCGTGATCCAAGCGAGTAATTACATAAGTTAATGAACCGTTTTCTAGCTTAAAGGGGTCATACTATGCTCATGTATATCAGTATGAAGTGTCTCTACTTTAAAGAGTCCTCTCCTGCTGATGTTCAGGTGTATATCAGTATGTAGTGTCTCTACTTTAAAGAGTCCTCTCCTGCTGATGTTCAGGTGTATATCAGTATGTAGTGCCTCTACTTTAAAGAGTCCTCTCCTGCTGATGTTCAGGTGTATATCAGTATGGAGTGTCTCTACTTTAAAGAGTCCTCTCCTGCTGATGTTCAGGTGTATATCAGTATGTAGTGTCTCTACTTTAAAGAGTCCTCTCCTGCTGATGTTCAGGTGTATATCAGTATGTAGTGTCTCTACTTTAAAGAGTCCTCTCCTGCTGATGTTCAGGTGTATATCAGTATGTAGTGTCTCTACTTTAAAGAGTCCTCTCCTGCTGATGTTCAGGTGTATATCAGTATGTAGTGTCTCTACTTTAAAGAGTCCTCTCCTGCTGATGTTCAGGTGTATATCAGTATGTAGTGTCTCTACTTTAAAGAGTCCTCTCCTGCTGATGTTCAGGTGTATATCAGTATGTAGTGTCTCTACTTTAAAGAGTCCTCTCCTGCTGATGTTCAGGTGTATATCAGTATGTAGTGTCTCTACTTTAAAGAGTCCTCTCCTGCTGATGTTCAGGTGTATATCAGTATGTAGTGTCTCTACTGGGACATGTCTCCATGCTTTAATGTTCAAAAAGCTCTTTATTTTTCTCATACTGCCTGTGCTGCAGCACCTCTTTTCACCCTCTGTCTGAAACCAGAGCCCATTCTGCTCTGATTGGTTAGCTGACCGGCTCTGTTGTGATTGGTCAACCGCTTAGAGATGTCACATACAAAGAAAAAGCGTGCATCCTAAGAGGCATAGCATACAATAAAGCAGAGGATTTCATCAATTCCTTTGTGTTTCTCTTGAAAATTAGTTTCTTGTTATCTTTGAGACTCTGAGAGCAGGGAGGCTGAATTCTCTCTGGATTGCTTTCCCTCCATCCTCCCTGAAGACACCCATTCTCTTTAGTAGCACATTGTAACCCCTCCATGAAGAACTGTGGCTATTTTATTTCATTCATTTTAAAGTAATGCACAGACCTGTTGACAAGAAACGACCTTAACACTGAAACACATGATGTAGTTCTCACTGTTTGCCACTAGGTGTCTCTAATGAGCACTGCTTTGATGATATGTCCCTTTACTGTTTACCTGTCAACAAGTCTGTGTTTTACTTTAAAATCTAACCCTATAATAACCCTAACTTCACATGTATCCATGTTACTTCAAAGCTAACCTTGGGGATAATGAGGGAAATCCAATATTTAAAAAATGACAACAATATCCTCTTAAATACATTTGATTTGAACGTTTAATTTTGCATTTTTAACCCTTTCTGAGATACATTGATTTCAAACTGCACTGTGTGTTCCTGTGATGAGATGATAACCATCTGACACTATCGTTGAAATGAATGGATTTCCCGCCTACATACACATATAAATGTCACCCGGTGTCTCTTTCCTCTGATCCTCATTCATCAATCTCTTTCCATGTTAATCAATGACTCTCATCTAATGCTGTCTTAACTAGAGTCCAACTAATATGCTTTAATTTGGTTTATGGCAAATATGTTTGTATTAACATAATTCAAGACAAATTAAATTGTAATGTTTTATTTCTTCTGGCATTTTTTTATTTTATTTTAAACTTTAGTGGATTTTTTTAACTATAATAATTAAAATCAACAATTAAAATAATATAAATAATAAGACATTTCATTTTTATATTTTTATTTTGTACTATATATTATTTATTACTATTATTATGTATTATTATTTAATATTATACATTTATTATTACATTTCAATTTGTTCATGATTTAAAAAAAACGTAAATATAATTATATTTAAATGAAAAACCCCTCCTTTGCAATAAATCTTGAATTGTATCCTTAAATATATATATATATATTAAAACAAATATATATATATATTAATTTCGGCCTGATAAATCCAGTATTGGTCGGACTCTAGTTTTTCCTCATGTCCAGGTTTTAATTGGGGAATGAAATTAACCATGTGATCATCTGTGTTGTCTCTCTTTTTGTCCCATTGGTGTCTTCCTCCTCATCCTCATCCCTGCATGCCCCTCTTTCCCCTAATAACCTCCTGGTGTGTGTGTTTCCGTGTGTGTGTGCTCTCTCCTGGGGAAAATCAAAGCGCAATCCGTTAGAGTTCAACCAGTCGGGGCTGAGGAAGACCTCGGTCAGTAAAGCTCTGAAGGTAAACAAGCACTCCCGTATCAACGAGACACCGAGCAACACAGTTTATTATCTTTAAAGGTCCCCTATTATACTGTTTTTCATCAATATATTATAGGTCTCAGATATATACAGAGCCTGTCTCTGATTGGCTGAAACACCAAACTGATCATTGCAGCATCCCATAATCCCCTCTGTTTCAGCCCTGTTTCAAAAGTGCTGATTCTCTGTCTGTTGCTTTAGATGAAAATACTTTATTGATCCTGATTTTGGGTTCCAGCAGCATAATTCTACCTACCTACCTACCTACCTACCTACCTACCTACCTACCTACCTACCTACCTACCTACCTACCTACCTACCTACCTACCTACCTACCTACCTACCTACCTACCTACCTACCTACCTACCTACCTACCTACCTACCTACCTACCTACCTAAAAAAGCCAAGGCGTTGTACATTACAGAAATTAAAAGACTAGAAGTAATCAATCCAAAATGCAAACGTCACAAATAGAAATAAAATAGAGAATATACATGTTGAAATACAAATGTACAGTAACAAAATATAAAGCGAATGTGTAAGGAATGAAATATTAAATGGAATATAAATACCAAATGTACAGTGTGAGTTCAACTCTCTAATTAAGGAGCTAACAGCACCTTACATCCTAAACTCTTAATGGAGTCAAATGTAAGGATTTTGGGACAGATTAGTGCTCTGTAAATATCAGGGAGTGATGTTTCTAAGCTCATTACATCATAATATAATGAGATGTTCCTAACAGGAAGTGAACCTACTTACTGACTGTTGTTGTGGAATCATTAACGAACTCCACTAATCATGTTTGTTTACTAAAACTGTGTCTAACAATGTGTGTAGTAAATAACAACATTGTTTCCCAAAGTTACATTTACACTCATACGTCTGATTCTGATCTTGTTAAAAACTGATTTAATGTCAATGTACTTTCCCTCCTAACTCCTCTCCTTAAAAAGATTCACGTTTTACTGAAATGTGAAGAGTAGCTCCGGGTAGTTTGGTATCTTGGTAAACATATAAGATACCAAAGCCCAAAATGACACTGTATGAGTTCAAAATCCACATTTTGAAAGCTTTAAACATACAGTTAGCGCCATCTCATGTTGGCAAAACGTATTTTACACTTTAATATATAAAAACATACATATTCAACTTAATTTTAGATTTAATTTCAGATGTTTACTTGTATTTCTTTATGTTAAGAATATGCTATATATGAGATCAATCTTTACCAAAGCTTGTAGAGTTGAAGACTTCATATTTGTGTATTTATTTGCTTGTAAAACGTTTTTCTTCCTCTCCTGCAGTCCGGTAAAAAAGTGACCAGCGATCCAAATCCATTCGTCCAGTTCAGAGTGGGACACAAGTCCTACGATAGCAAGGTGAGACCAAAACACGGTGTTATTTTAGGAAGTATACTCCTTAATGGGAGGTGTGTGGCGCAGTGGGTTAGTGCGTTGGTGTTCGGATCAGGGGAGCACAGGTTCAAACCCCACTGCAGTCAGCATGTCGTTGTGTCCCTGAGACACTTCACCCCAAATTGAGTATGTAAGTCGCTTTGGATAAAAGCGTCTAACAAGTAACATGTAATGTAATGTAATAATCTTATGTATCCTCCTCATTTCAAAACGCAACAGAGTTATGTAAGTTTTATCTAAAGTAATACTTGAAATACATCATAGGAATAAATGGATTGGGGGTAACTTTGCCTCTTAGTTAGCAGATGCTGTAACATTGTGTGAATTTAAGTTGTTAACTTACTTTCTTGTGTCCGTTCATTAAGTACAAAGATAGTCAGGGTGTTGTTAGCCTAGCTTAGCATAAAGACTGGAAAGCTAGTTTCGCCTTGATACTGTATGTTTCAGGCTAGTTTCGAGTCTTTATGCTAAGCTAGGCTAACCGTGTGGTGAATTCAGCTCTGTAAGTAAAACACAAATCATCATATCTTATCAGCGCACTTTCCCTTAGAAATACGCTGTGGTAATTTAGGAGACAATTTTCATGCAATAAGTCTGTTAATGTGTTTTAATATAATGTCACCAACGATGCTAAGATAGCTATTCTCTACTGTAGCTGCTAAACTTAGCACATTTAGCGAGCAACTAACAGTACAATACGTTTGCAATTGGCTGAATCTTCACACATTTTAATGGACAAAATGCCATTTTCAGACTTGTTCTATCTTATTAAATACAAAAAAACATATTATTTTGTATTTAATGGAGTTTGTGACCAGTTTACCCAAATGTCCCTCTAACTCCTCTCTGTTGTTTCCTCCTTCAGACCCGATATAAGACCAATGAGCCGGTGTGGGAGGAGGCGTTCACCTTCCTGATCCATAACCCCCGCAGCCAGGAGCTGGAAGTTGAGGTACGGAGGCTAATCTTAGTCTTTTTTTAATATTTTCTTTGCTACTGTAGTCTAAACTTTATAAGCAGTAAAGGCGAGACAGTCTATGGCAGGGCTTCTCAAACTCCGGACCAAGGTCCCGATCCGTACCGAACCCTGTGTTCCATTACCATGACCGCAAGTTAACCGCAAGTTTACCTTGACTTTCTTAATGCTTCTAATGCCTTTTTTGCCGAGGTTGAAGGCATCGGCTACAGACAAACAGTGCCATTTCTACTGGCATTGATCCGGACCAGTGACCTTGTATACAATTCACAAGTGGACCTTTAATAAAAAGATTTGAGTACCCCTGGTCTATGGAGAGACTCTGGATCTTAATTTTGACGATTCAGTGAAGAAAGAAGATGTCGTACTTTGTCCAAATTAAAGATTAAATGCAGCGCGGCAAAAACTGTGGCATGCCCCCTCAGCATCCCCCCCCCCCCCCCCCCCCCCCCCACGTTTATATTTTTTGAGAATTAGTTCTTATTTTATTTAATGTATTTGGGTCTACAACAGATTATGTCAGTAAATGTGTACTAACAGAGGCGGGGGTGTTTGTGAAAACAACGGGGACAGAGCTGCTGTCAGACGATCAACTGTGCGGCGTCATCACAAACGGACGTCGCTTCACGTGACGCTCCGGAGGAAAGGATGTCCCATTGCTCTTAAAACTAATTTCCCTGCTTCTCGTGGTTTCCTTGCGTCTCTCCATGCTTCCCTGGTGGGAGGGACTAGTCGCAGGGAAACGACGCAAGTGAGGGACGCAAGGAATCCATTTAACCGACCTGAGATGCAGCCACTGTCAGCTCCTTGTAGCAGCGAGCTGACCAATCAGAGCACACTGGGCTCACAGGGAGGGGGGGGGGGGGGCAGGAGCTCCAACAAGGCGTGTAGGACAGAGTGTTCATACTATACAGAGATGCTGTATGAGAAACCAATGTGAGTTTGGAACATTGAACAATGTAAATCTATTCTAGTAGACCTCAACAATGGAATTATGATCAGTAGAAATGGCCATGACATGGGACCTTTAAATTATCTATAACCCCCACTTTGTACTTTGACGTTTGACTTATTCATCAACATTTAATCAAAATTGCTATAACTTAATGGTTTAATTCTGCAAACGGTCTCAAAAAAGACTCTCTCTTTGGGCCTTTTTAAATATTTTCCTTGCTAATTTAGTCTAAAATATATAAGCAATAAAGGCGAGACAGTCTGTGGAGAGACTCTGGATCTTAATTTTGACGATTCAGTGAAGAATGAAGATGTCGAACTCTGTCCAAATTAAAGATGAAATTACCTAAAACCCCCACTTTATATAGAGAAACTGCTCGTTATTGTACTTTGACCAATTATTCATAAAGATTTAAACAAAATTGCTATCATTTAATGGTTTGATTCTGCAAACTGTCTCCAAAAAGCCTCTCTCTGTGGGTCTTTTTGAATATTTTCTTTGCTGCTCTAGTCTAAACATTATTCGCAGTAAAGGCGAGACACACTCAAGACAAAAACAATGACTTCCCCTCCGTGTGTTTCCAGATTAAAGACGAGAAACACGAGTGTACGTTGGGCGTTTTGACGGTGCCGCTGACTCGCCTTCTGGAGGCCGAGGAAATGACCTTAAATGAACGTTTCCCCCTCAAGAACTCCGGCCCGAGCTGCACGCTGAAGATGAAGATGGCTCTGAGGGTAAGATAAGAGAAGAAGTACTTTATTGATCCCAATTTGGGAAATGTTTGGCACAAGGCATTGCACATTATTATATAACACAGATTCTACACTGATTCTGATTCTGTTTTAATTTCAGGTGCTGAGCTTGGACAAAACCCCTCCCTCTTCCTCCGAACCCTCCTCCCCCTCTTCAGTGCAGGTCAACAAGAACAAGAAAACAAACCCTCAACCTGCCGCCTCTTCCTCCGACTCCCCCGTTCCTCCCTCCTCCACCTTCGATATCCCTCGCTCCGCCTCAGTGTCGGCGCAGGACGTCATGAATCGAAGGAAAGAAGCCAACGATCCGAACCGCTCTGTAGGGAGCACTGATTTGGGGCAGGGGGGAAGAGGAGGAGGTTTAGCTCTGAGTGGGAGGAGCTCCTCTAATCTCGCCATTTCCGGGTCGCAGCAATATCTGGCGGGCGGAAAAGAGCTGACTCCAAGCATCGCTTCTGATATCTCCAACCCTTACGCCACTCAGGAGCTCCAGCAGAGACTCGCGCAGCTGCAGAAGTAACTATCAAACTATCAAATATCAATTTATCTCAAGTCAAGTCAACTTTATTGTCAATCTTTCAGTTTGTGTGTACCAAGCCCCAGGGAAGTGCCCCGGATTCGTTGTGGCCAAACGGCGGTACTACAACTCCCGTATCAGTCCGTGACGTCACCCGGCCCAGAAAGACTTTTCCCCATTGACTAACATCGGGAAAGAGTAGTCTGTAAATCAGCTTATCATTTTTTTTAAACAAAATAAACTACCCAGCACGAACACTATTACATCCCTTATTAGAATCATTCGGTCCTTAAAGTTGTAAAATGCACTAAAAGCTGAATCTAGATTTATTTTTTCTCTCCATTCATTCTACTGAGCCGAAGGTGGGCAGGGCTTAATGACAGGGGGCGGGGCTTACGGGAAAACGCAACTACGCTCTATGAGCTACATACGGGTACTTCTGCTCTGACAGCAAGGCATGATGGGTAATTTGTGACGTTTTGCTCTCGAGAATGTCAGGCCATTTTGTCCTCATGCGCCAATGAGCAGCTCTCATAGGAAAGAACGAGACCCCGCCTCCCTCGCTGTATCCAGTTCTTATTCTACATCCATGGTTTAACCCTCTCTCTCTCTCTCTTTCTGCAGTGGTTCTGGTCCTGGTCACTCCCCTCTGGGTGAGATCCAGCTCACTATCAGACACTCCTCCCAGAGGAACAAACTCATCGTGGTGGTGCACGGCTGCAGGTACGAACAACACAGAACCAGGAGTTTTACTGACTCTATATATCAGGAGAGGGTTTTTTAAGTCTTACATTATATTCTGTTGTTTCCCTTCCCTCAGAAACCTGATAGCGTTCACGGACCACGGCTCGGACCCGTACGTCCGCCTCTACCTGCTTCCCGACAAACGGAGGTCAGGGAGGAGGAAAACTCACACCTTCAAGAAGACCCTCAACCCCGTTTACGACCAGACGTGAGTCCCACCTTCACTGGCCTTTTTGGACAACTTATTTTCATTAAAATGTCAAAAAAGAACTAGATCTATGATATGTAGTGTGTGGAGTTATCCCACATCTTTCCAACAATTGTCAAACCAGAGAAATCTGTCGTTATTAATCAGAATCAGAATCCCTTTATTAGTCCCACAGAGGGGAAATGTACATTTGTTACAGCAGAAAAGAGCCAAAGACAGCGTAATGTTATCTAAGAAGCATGCATAAAAAAAAATAACAGTAAAAAAAGTTGAATAATTTACAAAATGCACATCCTGTAACAGTTCTGAGGATTTAGCAGCCAGGTATATATTGCACAGTTATTAACGGCATATATATATTACACATATTGCACATACAGATGGAGCCTCTTATTTTGGACGCCAGCATACAGCTTCCTGCCTACTGCCAGCCAGTTACCTGCCTAAGACCTGCCAAAGACCAGTATCCAGGAATGTTAGGCCCTCCCACTATTCTCCAATTTCAGGGTTTAACCAGGAGATGGCGCTATATATTAAATAACTAAGACTTAGTTTTTCACAATAGAAAATGCAGATATTATATAAAAAACTAAAGTTAAAATCTTGTTTTTAATGCCCCAAGAGCAATAACATCTTGTCACAAGCTTTTTGGAAGAAAAAGACTGACCCAAGAGACCTGTAGTTGACTAATTACAGGCCTCAATAAAGTTCTGCCATTGGTTGTGAAAAACAACGGTGGACATAGTGGAAAGTGAAATTGACATTGTCGAATTTAATAAAAATACAAAATAATGTATCTGTATACGTGTTTTACTATGTGATCTGCACTTATCAAACATCTAATTAAAGAATGGTAGCTGTACCTCTCAAACAACCTAAACTAGTTATAAATGTTTATTTTAAATAAAGTCTTTATGACTCGGAATATGAATAATATGGGTCCGTTACAGTTTGTTTTCATCTGATTTCAAATAAACACTAAGAGTACAGATATGTCTACCCTTTCTTTTCAGAGTGTAATATCTGCATTTTCTCTTTTGGTTTGAATAGGAGAAGGGCAATGGTTATCGATGGTGCTTTTAATGCCTATTGTATATGAACTGTGTGATTTATATTGCTTTTCAAATGCATATAAGCCCCCCATTTACACTGCACTTCCCGTCAAGAAAATGAATAGCAGTTAGTTAGATCACTTTACAGATCAGGTTGGACCAGCCCTGTCGCTACTCTCTGCATTTCCTACTGCAGATAAAAAAAAAGCTACAAATATGTATTTCTTAATAAACTAAATAGGCCACCATTGGTAGCAGTTCTCATTATATACTTCTCAGTAACTGCTCCCCTTAAATTAAATGTATTCTGTAGAGAAATGTAAACGTTCACCATCCCCCACCCGCCTACTGTATGTTGCTTTTTGACATGTAAATGGGTAACTACCCCCCTCTGAGTGAATACCTGTTGTACCTGTCCGGGGCTAAGCCCATAGGACGATGCTCTGATGTCATCACCTTGGTCATATGTTTACAAAAAACGATGTTAACACTTTCTCGTTCTTAATATATGCTATATTTAGGGTCGATATGTGTTGAATTTACTTTAAAATAGCAGATCACTGTGATTCACTTCTCCGCGGCTCCTCCGTGCAGAGAGGCCCCCCCCCGTTGACAATTCACGAGCGTCTAACTCTCTCCCCCCTCCCCCGTCGCACCTTCTAACAGAACCCCCCCCCCATATCAAATCCCAATTTATTCATATTCTGAGTCATAAAGACACACACACACACACACACACACACACGGATTTGGCCCACAGACCTAGAGAGTACCAAAATACAGTGAGTCCTAAACACAAGTAGTCAGGGTTCATTTATAACGCTTATTTTGATTTATTTTTCTCAAATGATGCTGTATGTTTCACTTTCTGAAAGCGTTAGAATCGCACATGAAAAATATTGAAAGCTGCCAGCTGCCCTCGGCCATGTCTTTGGCGGTGATCCAAGCTTCGGTACCACAGTGGATAAAGTTAGTAATACATTTATACTGATCAAATGTCAATACATTACATAAGTCTTATTCTCATTCATACTTAATTTATTTCTTCTTCTGTCAGTATGAACACAAAAAACTAACCGGTATTACATTTCATTCTAAAGTTTACGGTCTAAAAAGGTATTTAAAACAGATCATTTGTCGTTGCTTTTGGCATAAGCAGTCAGAGGAAACATAACGTTCTCAGTAAGATTCCTTGAAGAACTAGAGCACAAGAACCAAAGTAAGCTTTACTTTCAATGAACCTTCAATATAGACCTAACATGTGAAGAAACATACTTTATTTAAAATAAACATTATAACTAGTTTAGGTTGTTTGAGAGGTAATTGAAATAGCTAAGGGTGATGATCTGCGAACACAAACTACAGACTGCTGGAGAAGAGATATCACAGGGGGGGGGTTGGGACACACACATTCCGATGGCCAATTCGTTTTAAACAAAGAGTAGGCTATACTCAACATAGTGGGGTGGGGGCTGGTGAACGGTATGGTCAATGTTTGTAAACACTGTGACATTTTGACTTTATTTGATCATTTCAGTTAAAAACTAACGTTCATATTTCATATTACTGTTTTGCCTGGCTGGACCTGTAATTTACAGGAAAGGAGTGCACGCTACTAAAGAGACACGCTACCATGGAAACCAAACAATGGTGTTGCTGTATTGAAGTCCGAGTGGAAACAGTCATATTTGGAGCGTTATGTTAGAATGAAACAGCGAGGTCGTGACTCACAAAAAAAAGTGTTACTTCACTAACTGTAAGCTTGTCACTCAGAGTAACCTACAGTTAACTTAACTGTTGGAAAAGAAAGATCAGGGGGGGAGAGAGCTGTGATGGGCCATTAGGAGTGTACACACACAGCTGAGAGCTGCCGTTTCATTCTGACTGTTTAAAAATCGGTAACAACGGACTATTTTTCTTAGCGGATGCATGTAAATTTAAATCAATACATACAACTATTTTTTAAATCAATAAAAATATTTTCTAAATCCATAAAAGCATTTTAATTAATATTGGGAGTCATGTCGTTACTTTGTTGAGAATGTGGCCATGTAATAAGCGGGATAATTTGCAGCGACTTGGTCATTATGGGGAAAAAGAACACCCAGGGATCAAGATCCCTCCGCGACGCGGAGGGATCAGTAATTTTTAGTGAATTACTGAGTTTAGGCACGTTAATAACATTTTAATGAAGTTGAATACAGTATATTCATATTTGTCAGTGATTTCATGTCAATTCGGCGAACATAAACGATTAAATTAGGATTAAAAATCGAGAGCCGGCTGCTGTTCGTTTTTTTTCGACTAAACAACATTATTTTGTTAAATAACAACATGGTGATGTTTTGTAAATGATTACATGTCTTATTTAGCACAGACTATGATCCTATCCGTGACATATGGATCTTAACAAAGATCCGCTATACATTAGTACCAGACATACTGTACAAGACTCCACACATGACTCCAGTGTGGAACCCCACTGCACCCCCTGGTGGATCAATGATCCATTGCAGCTGGCTTCACAATAATTAAATTTATTTATCACGGGGGCGGTATCAAGTCAGACTGGGGGCCGGCCGGCCATCACGGAACGTGCACGAACCGATCACGACCCTCGCATTTTAAACTGTCCAAAATAAGACGCTTCATCTGTAGTTGGTTGGTATTTAACAACAAGGGGTGTTGTCGTCTGTTAACAAGGTAGCGTTGCATTTGGCCTCCTCTAATGGCATTTTACCCCCATATTTTACTGTCAGAAACCTTCAAGCCACATATTTACAATACACTTTGTAGATTTGTAGATAAAAAAACAGTGACTTGATGGGATGGTGAGAGCAAATTATATCACCAAACGCTGTCTTTAGTTAATTTGTTGATTGACAAGAATCAGAATCAGAATCCCTTTATTAGTCCCACAGAGGGTGTGGTGGGGGAAACTTCTGTAGCAATGGAGAGTCAGGACTCAAAGAGACACGAGGAGAGCTGGAGCTTTGATGGCAAACACTGACGGTTTATTTGGAGCTTCGGCCGGAGAATTGACAAGACAGGTGGTGTGTCACGAGTTGACACAGCGGTTGCCAAACCAATTCTGAAGAACTCTTTCTGCAGCTCGAGGTTTTAACTAGTTCGGAGTGTAATAATCAACATTCTTCATCAGCGAGATTAAACAATTATGGACCCTGAATCTAACTAGAGCTCTCGTCCATAGGAAAGAATGTGCGCCAGGGAACCTACGTCCCTGAACAGTAAACTACCTCATGGCGGCTTGTGCTCTGTCATAGACTGGCAACAACAATGCGCCCAAGCTGCCCCTCCTTACGAGAGATAGCAGCAATACCCAAGGCCGCAGACCTATGCCGTGGGAAAGGAGAATGTGAAAAGAGAACATGATGAACTGGGTCGAAGGTTGAACAACTAAGCAAATTATTCCCTAACAGTGAGCATTTGGTGAGGGATATTGTCAGATATCTGGAACAAACTCCCAGAAACCTGCAGGTCCGCTGCAACTCTGACTACTTTTAAATCCAGGCTGAAGACTTTGTAACTTTTATTTATGTTTAATTATCTTTGCTTTTTAATGTTTCTAATGTGTTTTATGCTCTTAATGTTTTTGATTTTTGTAAAGCACTTTGAATTGCCTTGTGTTGAAAAGTGCTATATAAATAAACTTGCCTTGCCTTATAGTCTGGAGTGGCAGGAAAATAAATACTATAGGCGTTTTCACACCAAGTACTTTTCCCAGGAATAGTTCCCGGAACTGTTATTTCCTGGAACTATCTAGTAAATCGTGTTCACACCGGAATAAGTCCCTGAGGGAGCCGCTGACGTCACTTCTTCTTCTGCTTTGGGTTTACTGGCAGGCCGCAAACAACTTCACGGCGTATACTGCCACCCGAAGTCCCCGGCCGGAAGTCCCCGGAGTTGGGGAAGGCTTCAGTAGAAGCTGCTGGGACTCCCAGCAGCTTCTACTGAAGCCTTCCGAGTAAATCGCCAGAAGCGCAGACACCTCCTCATCACTCCACCGCTCCGCTTTCTTTTGTGTTGCCATAAGTTAGTCTCTCTCCGTTTGTGCGCTGGGCTAATGCTAATGCTAATAATGCTAATGCGAGCAAATAAAATGGCGGCTTCACAAAAACTTTTCAGAGTTTTACGGGGCGTGGTTTGCAATTCGCCCAGCCAATCAGAAATTGGAACCTTTTCCTCCCCAGGAAAGTACCTGCTCTCTAGCAGGGACTAAAAAGGGGTGAAAAGGTTCGCAATTTTTTTTTCAGAACTATTCCTGGGAAAAGTACTCCGGTGTGAAAGCGCCTTGTGCTTTTAAACGTAGTATTTTAGCAGCTGATGATTGGTAATGTTTCCTCTCCTCCTCAGCTATGAGTTCAGTGTGTCTCTCGTGGAGCTCCACAGACGCACTCTGGACGTCGCAGTGAAGAACGGAGGAGGACTGCTCTCCAAACACAAAGGCCTTCTGGGAAAGGTACGCTCTCTCACTACAGATTCTACACACTTCATTAAATACAGAAATGTCTTGAAATCAATCCAATTATCTATAAAGCAGTCTTTGTTTGAGGATTATGGATTTAAATCTTGAGTTTTGACAATATTCCAGTGTGTTCATCTACCTGAAATAGTGTTACAAGAGTATCTTCAAGGATGGTAGATTATTCTGCTCATGTCATATTTCAACTGTTTGCAGTCTTTTAAACACTTGATTTAGCATTTTTAAATAAGCTCTGTTGTCTTTTCTCCTCAGGTTCTGGTGGATTTGACGTACGAGGACACGTCTAAGGGTTGGACACAATGGTGAGTGATTGATATCTCACTTATTATTTATATAACTCTGATCATACAAATATGAAGACCAACAAACAGCTCAGTTTCATGTATGTTGTTAAGAAATCTTTGAATAAAAATAAAAGCATGTATCTGTCAGATTTCCAAAATAAAAGCATGGATCTGTCAGATTTTCTAAATAAAAGCATGTATCTGTCAGACTTCCAAAATAAAAGCATGTATCTGTCAGATTTCCAAAATAAAAGCATGTATCTGTCAGATTTCCAAAATAAAAGCATGGATCTGTCAGATTTTCAAAATAAAAGCATGTATCTGTCAGACTTCCAAAATAAAAGCATGTATCTGTCAGATTTCCAAAATAAAAGCGTGGATCTGTCCGATTTTCAAAATAAAAGCTTCTCTTTCTCCTCCTGCAGGTATGAGCTGAGTGAAGATGGTCTGACGAAACCTCAACAACTATAGAGCGAAACAACCATCACAATCACCATCATCATCATCATCACAATCATCATCACCACAACCATCATCATCATCATCATCATTATCACCACAATGATACGAGACATCTATTATTTTTACTAAGTGTACAAAGTAAAGAAGAAGCAGCTTTGATCCATTTAACCACATCAGTCGCAAGGCAGACCTCCCCTTTAAGAAGAGCCAGGCTTTAAAGGGAGTATTCCACATGTAGAATATTCAATATATCACCAATACTACTATGTACTGCTGTGGAAAATATATTCCATATTTATAGGAGAATATATATACCAGCTGTAGATGAAGACAATCTATTTTTTTGCGGTAAAATATGTAAAAGTTTGTAAATATATAAACGATGACGCTCGACTAAAGAGGGCGCCGTGTTTGAGAGAGATTCAGGCCAAATGATTGTTTGTCGTTTTCTTTGATTTCTTTGAAAACATTCTAGACGCCACCAAAGAGACGAGAAGTCATTTTTTGTATTCTCTTCCCTCGTTTGCTTTCCTCTGGTTTAATTCCACTTTGATAACATGTGTTTAAAACATCTTAAAGATAAGTATAAGTACACACAGGGGCGCCGCTTGCAAAGAGGCAAGGCAGGGCTTGGGGCCCCGGACCAGAAGGGGGCCCCCAAAGAAGGTAGATTAAGAAGGTCCACAACATGAAACACCCTTTCATTTACTGCAAGGACATGTCGGGAAACCCCCTCAAGGCGGCCCCATGCATAGCGCGCCGTAAAATGCTGCTTCTTATTTTAAGTTTCGTTGCCTTGCTCCGCTCTGGGGGGGGGGGGGGGGAGAAGAGTGTGTTGGGGCGCCACTGATGGCTGGTTTCGTGGGGCCCCCAGTGAATTTTTGCCTAGGGCCCCCACAGACTCTAGAATCGCCACTGAGTACACAAAAGGTGTGTTGAATCCACAGTTTTTGTATCCGGTAATACACCTGTTGTTATTCTAGAATAAGGCCATTGTTATTGTTTTTAAAGCTGAATATATATTTTGCATCTATCTGGGATCATCAGTCGGTTTTAGCGAGTAGTTCTTATCTCAAATTAAGAGTATTTATAATTGAAAAAATGCCAAATTAGAGAGTCATGTATTGCAATTATATAAATAACATATTTATGGAGTAGTGATCCCTTCCTTTATGAGAAAAGACCTATTTTTTCTGTTAAATATGAAAGTTAGAAGTTGAAAACAGACAGATTTATCCGTATTAACCCAAATATTAGTATTGCAATTATCACGCATATTTTCTTCATTTATCTAAAGCCACTATGTATAAAAACACATTTTATACACATTTATAGTATTGTCATGTTCCCCGATTAATGTGTATCATAAAGAAACCATCACTTCCTGTCGGCTTTTCACAATAAGATATCTCCAGTTTTTTGTCTTTTATTTTGAAAATACAGGAATAAATCAGTGAATAAAGACACTGCTTGTGATGTGATTAATGTGTAGCTATCCTAAAGAAAACATCACTTCCTGTCGGTTTTTCACAATAAAAGATATCCAGTTTTTTGTTTATTTGAATATCTTTTATTTTGAAAATACAGGAATAAACCAGTGAATAAAGACAGTGTTCGTGATGTTTAAATTACAGAAGAAATCTAATAAAAGTGGCTTGAAAAACTGATACAATTGGGAAAAAAAGACATTAACAAAATGTACACATTAACAGTTTACACTTTAAATTTACACCAAAAATATTCCTAGTACAAATATATGTTTGCACCACTTTTCACATTAATAAAAACACTTCTGATTGCTTTTTTATTTTTAAAAAGTACATTAAAAAAATTCACATTGGTACCCAAACTAAGAGAAATTATCTGCAACACAAAAAAATGTCCCCTTTTTGTAACATTGTCAAAAATATGCGAAAGATAAGCTTTATTTACTGGCCAATAAATATGGACAAATAATGGCTTTAAAAATAAAGAAAATTGGAGTAAGATGACGACAAAATCTTCTGAAAAATATCAAATAATTACAAATAAATCCACAAATAACTACTTTTAAAATTGAGAAAATTGGAATTAATTGACATCTCCTAAAATTAGAAATAAGGTCTAAAAAAATGTGCTTTTTTTTTTTTTTTTCTTTAGTTTGTCACCATTTCAGTCTGGGTTTATATCGTCAAGAGTTCCGCTATAATCAAGTTTTCCACATGTTTATGAATCAACATGAGTCTTAACGTGTCAATAATACGTGTCATTTTTAGGTCTTGAAATTGTTGAAATTCACGTTTACTTATTATTTTATTTGGTGTACATATATTTGTTACCGCGCATATCATGTTTAAAAACTGCATTGATTTCACAGCACTTGCTCAAAAGGGATTTATATCAAACTACAACATAAATGTTAGTATTTAAAACAGTAAATAATATCGTTTCTTTTCAAATACACTCTCTTGCCATCAAGAAAGTATTTTACGCACATGTATGAACGCTCTGTTATGTATGTAATGTTTTATTACGTGTATTTTGCAGCTGTCACCCATTTCTCTTCCTTGTTCCTTTTTTATTTTGAAAGGATCAAACTGTTTTCTCTTTTGGATGCGAGAGCTTCTCTGAAAGGCGGTTTTGTTGTTCCCCGTCTTCTTAATTTATCTTGTGCCTTAAGAGATATTTACGTGTATAAAAAAATAAGAAGATGCTTCAACGGTTTTTCCTCATGTGTCACAATGTCTCCTAAATGTCTTTTAAAAACAAATAAAGAGCTTTAGCTGGCTATAGCAGCATGGAGCTGTACAGCACTGTGTTTCTCATCATTTCTGTATTTATCATTGCACTGCTATTGGCTAGCGCTCCAACACATTGTACGTGATAGGCTAAGGGGCGGGACATCTCTAAGCGGTCGACCAATCACAACTGATCATTAAAGCATGGAGACATGTCCCAGTAGAGACACTACATACTGATATACACCTGAACATCAGCAGGAGAGGACTCTTTAAAGTAGAGACACTACATACTGATATACACCTGAACATCAGCAGGAGAGGACTCTTTAAAGTAGAGACACTACATACTGATATACACCTGAACATCAGCAGGAGAGGACTTTTTAAAGTAGAGACGCTACATACTGATATACACCTGAACATCAGCAGGAGAGAACTCTTTAAAGTAGAGACACTACATACTGATATACACCTGAACATCAGCAGGAGAGGACTCTTTAAAGTAGAGACACTACATACTGATATACACCTGAACATCAGCAGGAGAGGACTCTTTAAAGTAGAGACACTACATACTGATATACACCTGAACATCAGCAGGAGAGGACTCTTTAAAGTAGAGACACTACATACTGATATACACCTGAACATCAGCAGGAGAGGACTCTTTAAAGTAGAGACACTACATACTGATATACACCTGAACATCAGCAGGAGAGGACTCTTTAAAGTAGAGACACTACATACTGATATACACCTGAACATCAGCAGGAGAGGACTTTTTAAAGTAGAGACGCTACATACTGATATACACCTGAACATCAGCAGGAGAGAACTCTTTAAAGTAGAGACACTACATACTGATATACACCTGAACATCAGCAGGAGAGGACTCTTTAAAGTAGAGACACTACATACTGATATACACCTGAACATCAGCAGGAGAGGACTCTTTAAAGTAGAGACACTACATACTGATATACACCTGAACATCAGCAGGAGAGGACTCTTTAAAGTAGAGACACTACATACTGATATACACCTGAACATCAGCAGGAGAGGACTCTTTAAAGTAGAGACACTACATACTGATATACACCTGAACATCAGCAGGAGAGGACTCTTTAAAGTAGAGACACTACATACTGATATACACCTGATATTCATATCAAAAATCCAAAGGAGCACAAAAACAACAGCAGGAAACCTCCATTTGAAAAACAGCTGCAGTTTACTTTATTTTTAACCTTTTGAAATAAAATCTCAGAAATCAGAAAAATGCTCAATTTAATTTCTGAGGTGTTGTTTTTTTTTGGCAGCTAGACTTCATCACTTATGTTGCTCTCACAGCAAAAATGCATTCATGACACAATCTTAATTGTGTTTATAAAAGATTTAAGGGTAATTCAGGTTTATTTAAAATAATGTCCCTTTTTTTTAACCATTAAAAGTCCAAATTACATCTTAAATAATTCATATTTCACCTTAAGTATCACACTCTGCTCTCATTACACCAGACCCATGTTTAGACACTGATGTTTTTAGGCCCACTACATTTCATATTACAACTTGGCATATTTGTATTGCAGACTACTTATCCGTAAGGGAATACAGAATACAGTACACAGAAATGCAATAGCACAATGTACTGTTTGGGGCTGATAATAGAGGTAGAGTAGCTCTGTTTTACGACTTACAATGCTTGACAGAAACCCTGCACACTCCCAGATAACACAGATAAGAATTCAAGTAGGCTATATTATATGTAATGTAGAACAACTTTCATGGCTGTATGAATGTAAAAGATGGTGTTTTAGTATATTAAAAAGTCGCTGAATGAAGAACTGGACAAAGTTCTTGCTGCTGTGTGCAGGTAACTGTGTTATTTCATCAACTATGTTACTTGCAAGAAGTGTGCATGAAAGGGTTAACAAAGGGTTAAAGAAGTCAGCAAAACAGCCCCCAACACTTTGTTTTCCCTCAGTGGGATTGCCTTGTAGCCTCACTAACTTATTATAAGGACTTTGGAACAGGGTAATAGTCCTCTGCCACGTTGCCACTATAAAACCCTGATGAGCTATCCGTCTTCTTCCTGCTCTCATGCATATTTAAACTTATAAAACATATCTCAGTGGTGACCCCTCCTCATTGATGGTGGGCGGTGACGTAGGGAGGGAACTTCCCTCCTCTTTCTCATTGTCTTAGTTTCTCTGATTAGATCATCTCTCTGAGTGAATCTTAAATGTATGTGTGATCAACAGATGCTTTTTTAGGGTGAGATGGTTTTGCATACAGTGACAGAGGGGGTATCAGCTGCTATGACAAAGCTTGTAGGTGTAATTTCTAACACCTCCCCTTCTCAGGTTGCAACAAGTAACAGGTTAAATGAGAAAGCTGTTTCCTCATTCTCTGCATTGAGTGAGCAAAAGCAGGAGGAGAGGAGATTTGTCGTCCGTCAGAGATTGTTTCTGTTCAGAGAAAGTGGATATTTTACCTTCTGTCTGCAGTCCGTAACTATCACTGAGAGGTGAGATGGCACATGGAGGAGTTCAGCTGGACCGTGAAACCTTCTCTTGTTCGATCTGTCTGGATCTACTGAAGGATCCGGTCACTATTCCCTGTGGACACAGCTACTGCATGGACTGTATCAAACACCACTGGGATGGAGAGCTAAGCCACAGCTGCCCTCAGTGTAGAAAGATCTTCAAACCGAGGCCTCTCCTGCTGAAAAGCACCATGTTAGCAGATTTAATGGAGGAGCTGAAGAAGACTGGACTCCAAGCTGCTCCTGCTGATCACTGCTATGCTGGAGCTGAAGATGTGGCCTGTGATGTCTGCACTGGGAGGAAACTGAGAGCCTGTAAGTCCTGTCTGCAGTGTCTGGCCTCTTATTGTGACGAACACCTTCAGCCTCATTATGACGCAGCTACGTTTAAAAAACACAAGCTGGTGGAGCCCTCCAAGAAGCTCCAGGAGAACATCTGCT